GATAGTGGGTTCAAGTCCCACAGTAAACCGGTGTCTCTCTGAAGTCCTAATGTATAGTATCTGTTCCTAAATTTGACAAATGACTCATAAGCCACCTCTGTTATAAGCAATATAGTAGTAATATTTTATTTGTCATTTTTCATCATATGAATTACTCAAAATACTTACCAAATCAATATAGTCGAATTTAAAAATGCCACGTACTCAATATTACGTATAGTGATAGGCTCAAAATTGATACATCATGCACTCATTTTTGAGCAAAATGAATTGTCTCAAAAATGACTCCTCATATATGCTCTTTTTCAGTAATAGTTTGTTATTTAAACGATAGTGGCCATAGACTAAAAGGAGAAATCATATACTTTTTTTGTTATTTTCTGCTTAAATGAGAATAATTATAAAAAAAAAATTTTTTTAATAAGGGTAGAAGAAACTTTGTTGTTGTAATTGTAGTTTATTTACGTCGCACTAGAGCTGCCCAATGGGCTATTGGCGACGGTCTGGGAAACATCCCTGAGGATGATCCGAAGACATGCCATTACAATTTTGATCCTCTGCAGAGGGGATGGCACCCCAGCTTCGGTAGCCCGACGACCTGCACGCGATGTCGAGCACTTTACGGTAGAACAGTTTAACGAGAGCCAATACCGCACACCCTCGGTCCCTGCGCAGACTGATCCAAGTGGTCACTCACCCACACACTGACCACAGCCAATGATGCTTGACTTCGGTGATCTGCTGGGAACCGTGTCTTAACGATCAGTCCACTGCGGGACTGAAGAAACTTTGAATTGTATAGTATGAAAGTTTTCATGTCATTTTGAACTAAGTAATTTTAGATGGCAAAATTCACAATATGGAACAAAATCATTTGAATATTGTTTGAAAAATTAAAATTTTAAATTGCGGTTTTTTATTTTTTTAATTTTCTATCTCAAATCGACTATTTGAACATTATTTCGAACTCGCTATCATTTGAATACTTTTCTTACCAACTCCTTTTTCTTCTCAGTAATCAATCGCACCATCTTTTTATCGATACTCCAACCGGAAATCAATTGAAGAGTTTTCAAGCCCACTCTCCTTTGAACAATTCTCCAACCTACTATCTTTTTATTGGTACTTGAACCCCCTATCATTTAATCATACTCAAACTCTCTGTATTTATCGGTACTCGATGTTGTTGTTGTTGTTGTTAATTTACGAAGCACTAGAGCTGCACAATGGGCTATTGGCGACGGTCTGGGAAACATCCCGGAGGATGATCCGAAGACATGCCATCACAATTTTGATCCTCTGCGGAGGGGATCGGTACTCGAATCCACTAATTTTTACCGGTTCTCGAACTCGCTCTACCGGGAACCGTGTCTCGAACTCTCGAGACACGGTTCCCAATAGATCACCGAAGTCTTGCATTTCTGACAGTGGTTAGTGTGAGGAAGTGCGAAAACTTTGATCAGCCAGTGGAGGGATCGAGATTGTGCCGTATCGGCCCTCGTTGAACAATTCTACCGTAAAGTGCTTGACTGCATCAAGTTGAGGATATTTTTCCAAACTTTTGAATAATTTAAGTATTTTGTGAATAATCCCACTGCAAGTATTGAAAGTTCTTATGGCAAAATAAAAGCTATGAAAAACTATTTAAGATCTACAATGACACGATAGAGTTCTTTAGCAATAATTTCTGTTGAAAATAAACAGCAAAAAGAATTGATTTTGAAGAGTCTATAAAACTATTTGCGTCTGCTAAAGCACGAAAAAATACATTTCAATGTTAATGCTTATTTATTTATAAGTCATAAAAGATTACAATGATTAAAGATATTAATTTCAGTGGTTATTTATATTAGAATACTGACAAAAATAGTTGTTTACAAAGCTATTGTTAGAGCAGTACTATTATATGGCGCAGAAACCTGGAAACAGACTAAGATCGAAATACAAAAATTAGAAACCTTTCAAAACAAATGTTTAAGATGTATTTTTAAAATTTTCTGGCCTTACAAAGTATCAAGTCAAAATCTATTAAAGAAAGCCAAAATAAAAATAATAGAAGATGAAATTAAAAAACGAAGATGGAGCTGGCTCGGACATATCCTTAGAGTGCCCAAAGAAAAAATTACATCTGTTGCACTTACATGAGCCCCTGATGGTAAAAGAACAAGAGGAAGACCCAGACTTACCATCCAGCGCATGTTTTTGGGTGAATTGAAAGAATGTAGAATATCTGACTGGGAGGAAGCAAGATCTATTGCTAGAGACTGGAGGCGTTGGAGGGATATGCTAGAGCAGTCATGTCAAAGATACGGCCCGCGGGCCGCATCCGGCCCCCGGTTCGTATCATTACGGCCAGCGATCGCGATATGTCACAGAAAGAAGAATCGTGTTTTTTAGACTTCACTCTATTCCTCTACGGAAGTTTTAAAATGTGCACACTACATTTATAAGTAATTTCAAGGGCAGCGCGGGCATAGACAAGCGAGAGAGATAGACAGTAACGCCTTTTCTTAGCAACAGGCGAAATCTTCGACTGGAATATACTTAGCAGCACAACTACGGATGGCGCTCCTGCCATGGGTGGCAATCATTCGGGCATTGTAACTAAATTAAAACAGAAAACATCAGGGAATTTTGTGGGATTTCCCTGTATAATTCATCAGGAATCATTGGCATCCAAGCATTTAAAAATGGACCATGTCATGCTACCTATAATTAAAATAGTAAATTTTATAAGGAGCAGAGGACTAAATCACCGACAATTCAGGCAGTTTTTACAAGATTTGGATGAAAATTTTTTTGCATTACGTAACCCTATTCAAGCTTTCATGTAAGAAAAAGGCAACCCAATTGATTATGACAATGACTGGTGGATTGATTGTGTCTTTTTGGTAGATATGAATTAGCACTTGACTGATCTGAATGCAAAGTTACAAGGTAAAAATCTGATTGTCACTCAAATGTATTCAAGCCTTTGAAACAAAGTTGAGGTTGTGGGAAAATCAGGTAAAACAATCAAACTTTGGATCATTTCTCTCATTTAAAATCATTTGGCACAGTGAACCTAAAAAAATTGGAACAGTATTCTCAACTTCTGCAAAGTCTGATCACGGAATTCAACAATCGTTTCGAAGACTTCCACAAAATAAATGAAACGGAATTCCCAATTTTCAACAATCCATTCAATTTTGAAGCTTCACAGGCACTAGTTCATTTGCAAATGGAGTTGATAAATCTTCAATCGGACAGTATTTTGAAAGAAAAATTTAAAGAGGTTAACGCTCTTACATTTTATGCACAATATTTCAAGAGTTTGGATAACTACCTGGAACTAAAAAAGCATGCAGCACGCATTCTGAGAACAAGAGAAGTCAGGTATCTGGATTCTCGAGCTCAAAATAATTACCATCTTTTATAACTTTGATATGATTTTTAACAACCGTATATTATATACCATATAATTAGATAAATAAAATGTTATAATAGTTCAGTACATTTTATTTTTTTGGCCCGCCTACACATTCTAAATTTAATATATGGCCCTCTGCAAAATTGAGTTTGACACCTCTGTGCTAGAGGCTTTAAGTGCCCAAAGGCACGTAGAAGATAAGTAAGTAAGTAAGTATATTAAAATACTTGCGGTGATATTCTCATAAATTAAAATGATGTCTTTCGTTTTTCAACCTTGAAATCGTTAATTGTTATTTATTTTCGTCATATGTTTCTTAAATCAGCATTCAGGGTTGATTTAGATTTTATAATTTTGTGGTAGTAATATTGTAATTTGAAATATAAAAGGCAGTTTTATGCAACTCTATGACTACACCAGAGAGGGGTCTTTTTTTTAACGATAAATTTTCCAAATTGAGATAAGAGTGTCTTTTTCAGAATCACCCTTTGCGTGAAAATGTCTTCAGCCTTCACTGCTCCCTCCCCACTTTTCTGTAACAGAAGTTCCCCCAAAGAAAGACAATTCAAATTTTTCAAGCTTGTCTATCTTTAGTATATAGAGAAATAAAAAAAAGTAAAAGTATTGGGAGGCAGTTTAATGGTCGCCAAGATGCTTCAGAGAGGAAAAGGATGTTTTAGCTTAGGCACGTTAGTGTAGAAAATCAATTTGTTATGCTAGTTTACGCATAGCTTCTTCCCTGCTCTAGTTTTGTTCGTCTGTTAAGAAAAAATATTGGTCATTTTCTGATGGGATACCGGCAATATTTATTTTTAGCTTCCGTGGGATTGAAATAAATATAACACAATAGCAATTTAGTTTAAACCAGGATCACGTGTAAGAATTTACAATCGAATCAAATTAAGCAAAAAAATATTTCTAGAATTTCTTTTCTCCTTATAATTGGTGCTTTGTGGTGCCCCCTTTACTTCAGGTGCCCTATCCACGTGCTTAGTTTGCTTAATGGTTAATCCAGCCCGTCCAATCAAATGCTTAAGCCTGACAGAATCAAATGCTTAGATCAAAAGTTATTCAGGGTGTTCCGATATTTTTTTTGTGCACTGTGTAAAAAATTATATGCAGTTCATTTATTGCGCTATTTAGTATTCTTAAAACATATTTTAATTATTGTACCCCACTCTGCCTGTCTTTCTCTGTGTGTCTGTTATTTGAGGTTGTTGTTTGTTTTTTCACTCACATTTTAACCCCATCATCAACTTTTTCAAACTTTTATTTGAATAAACTACAAAAAAAAGTATTATTCAAATTATAATTTAGAAAACTTATTTTGTGTTCTGATAAAAAAAAATTAAAAGCTCTTATATTTGGCGGTAAAAAGTTTGCGATGTGCTGGTATTACAAGACCGTTTTTATTACTTTACTAAATTGCCACTAGAGAGAGCTGTTGTTCTCTAGACGTCATTGAGCTTCCCCCTCTTCTCTCCCTTAATTACTCCTCCTCATATGTAATAATTTTAGCAGTGTGAATAAAACGTAAGTATATTTCACACTTCCTTGCAAGACTTATCAGCACTTGAAGTTAGCTTCTAACTCTTAACCGCTAATCTTGTACAAATGAAAATTGTGATACAAGCTAGTCTCTTTCGTTTTACAAGCTTATTAAAAATAAATAATTATTTTGATAGTGTAAATTATTTGTTTATTTGATGAGGTGTTTTATTAAATTTTTTAAAAGCAACGCTCTAGTCTTGTGTTTATACCTCATACTCTAAATTGTTAAATTTATTTAGTTGATTCATCTTGTAAATAGGTGTCATACGCTAGAAATCCAATTATGAAAATTACTGTCTTGTACATTGTATCGAAAGTTTGAGAATTCGTAATCGCTTTTTAAAATTAAAAGAGAATTTCGAAAACAGAATATATTGTCTGAACAAAATGGCCAGTAATTCTTCTTCTGGGCGTAGTTTTTCGTTTAAAGTTGTACTCTTAGGTGAAGGCTGTGTAGGTAAAACTTCATTAGTTCTTAGATATGTCGAAAATAAATTTAATGAAAAGCACTTCAGCACTCTCCAAGTGAGTTTTATAAATTTATATAATTATATTTCATTAATCTTTTACAAAGCTATGAATGTTTCACAATTTTTCCTCGTTTGCATTAGTTAATAAATAAACTCAAGTATCTTAAACACACATACAATTCTAATATAAATTCCTTTTCTTTTGTTGGTATATTTATAATTGAAATTTCCCTATGGGTAAAGAGTGTATACTTATTCATCTGTCAATTATCTTCAAAACAAATGTCAATGAATAGGTTTATATTACTAAAAACCAAAGTGTAATTCTGCATACTACTGTTTGAAATCAAACAAGGTTATGTCTAAAAATTAATTGGCATTTAATATTTATTTTAGTGTTCTACAAAATCCAACCATTCTTCTTTTTCGTTTTATAATCTGAATTTGCTGGGTTTGACAAAATGTCTTAGTACTCTTATCATTTCTCTGCAATGTGATTTCAGGAAGTTGGAGTGTTATATAAGTTTAAGTGCATGATTCCATTTCTAGTAAGGACAAAGACTTTGACATAACAAAGCTGCAGTCAAATCTGTCAAGTTCTTTACTAGAAAATAGATATTTCTAAATCTGTTTTGTTACATGTATGTAATACTTAAAAAAAATTTTGTTATAGCACTGAAATACCCTTTTGTCTTCTTAATTTTTCGTTATTCTCAAACACAAAAATATCCCTGATTTAGCTATTTTTTTTATTTTATTTTAAAAAAATATAAGGCTTTAAGAATTTTTTTTAATAGTAATATAGTTAAATCTTTTTAAATGTTTTCTCAATATTCAAAAGAAATAAATTTTTAAGGATTGTTTTCAATTTAAATATATATTTTGCTCAAAATACCCATAAATATATGTTTACGCACCTGACTTCCCAATGGTTTCTGGGCGATGCAGACATTATACACCAGACCAAAGTAATGTTTTAAAAATATGCTTATTTTTAAATTGCTCAATTCAACATTTTTGCAATTCATCTAATTACAATCTGTTTAGGCATGCTGTATCATATGAAAGAGCTAATGATGAATTACTTGTGGGCCCAAATGTGCTTACTTTGAGTTGAATTCAGTAAGAAGAATTCTCAGACTCACATTTTGCTAGAAATTCATGGTTTCATTTATCAAGTTCAATCAAAAATCTTGAATTTTTTTTCTGATCATAGAAATCAAAGCATTGCCAAATTTTATAACCAAATAACAAAAGAAAATGTTATTTTTCTTAGTATTTTTTCCCTGTTGTCATTGTCGTTTGCCCGTCTCAGGCAACTAAATGACATTTTCACTCTATTCTGTTTAAAAGTCATTACCACAATCCTTGAGCTTGACTTGATTATTCACTAATTAAGTATTTTCATGTATGTCAAGAGCAGTTAACAATAATGGTGGTTCATCACTTCAAAATTTCCATCTTTTTTTTTATTTATTTAATTTAATAAAGATAGGAATTAATGAAGATTTTTTAATCACAGAGTTTGTTCCGGTAGGAGTATGCACTAGTTAAGAAACATTTTTTGAAAGCCTTCAAGCAAATTCACTAGAAATGTTTTTCTATTTGTAAATTTTGATGTTCCGTGGTTTAATTAGTGCATTTTTTTCTCTTTAGAATATTATATTCTTAACTATTTAAATATATATATAGATACAGTAGAGCGCCGATTATCCGAACTGCTGGGGATCGAACGTGGTTCGGTTAACTGGAAAGTTGTTTAAAATCTAGTTTAAAAGATTGTTATTTATGCACTAACTTCCCTCCACACTTTTTCCAGGGTTAGGACTGGCAGTACTTTCTAAAATAGCACTGGTTTGTTTATAGTTTTTTTTTTTCTTCAATTTTTAAATATTTTTTATTTATTAATTTTTTTTAAAAGCTTTTTTTCATTTTGATTTTTTTTAAATCATATTTCAGCTTTTTATAATTTTTTTTCTCAATTACTGATTTTACATTTTTCTTTATTTTCCATTGCAAAGGAAATTCAGAAAAGATCTTTGTTTTAAAGAAGATGCTCTTTTTTGAGCAACCATATCCCTTATTCTTTTTAAATGAATCAACTGAATTAAATATGGTCTTCAGATGTAGTGGGTATTATTTATTTTTCTAAATTTAGAAAAATTGTCGATAAGTTCAGAAGTATTCTAAACTTTAAAAAAAAAAAAGGCCTTTTTTTTTCATAATAATAATTATATTATTAACTATTTAAGTTATTTTTTCAGTCATTATTACATAGTATTTTACTTTATTTTAGGCTTCCTTTCTGAACAAAAAGCTAAATATTGCTGGCAAAAAAGTTAACCTGGCCATATGGGTAAGTTATCTAATCATGTATTTGTTAAAAGTCCCAATTTTATAATGCATATATTAGTAATCTTCAATATATTTTTTATATATTTATCTCCATGAATAATATCTCTTTAAATATTTTCTCTTAAGCTTTTAACAAATATATTTATGAGCAAAGTATGAATTTTAGTTTTTTCTGCAGTGTTTAGTAAGGAACTATTGAAAAATCTCTAGTTTCTTACAAAACTGTATGTAATATGATTGATACTATTGTAACTGTACGTGCAATATACTAAAATCTCACCAGACTTACACTTCAATATATTGACCATTTTATGATATCCCTGGCAGCCTTTTGTAAATAAAGTATTATCTACTTCCTCCCTTGGGCAGATATTCTCTTAAGTGGACTCAGACAGTATTTTGTATTGTTTAAAGATCTTTTAAAGTCTTTCAAGCATACACAAATTGTAAAAAAAGTGGGGGGGGGTTCAAAGTATTATAGGAATAACTTAAATTTAATGTAGAACCAGAATTTGAAAATTTATACTGAATTTTAAAATTCTATATTATATTATTTAAGTCATTTTAAGTATTCATTCTTAACAACTATAGAAAGATAAATGAAAAACTGAGTAACCGCTATTTAAAAAAATAAAGTGATAAAGTTTTTAAAAAAGAGATAGAAAAAACATAGTATATCCTTTATTTTTCTCTTATGTATTTTTTAAAAAAAGTGAAGAATAAAGTCTCTTAGAAATCCTCTTAATTGTCGCATCATAATAAGATTGTTTATGAAAGCAAACTCTTTTTTAAAAAAAGAAAAGGCTGGATAGAAACCAAAACTAAAATTATTAATTTTTTAACAAAATATTTAAACGTTAAAAATCTCAATTTAACTTTATTACATTGCCGTATTTTTAGAAAAATGTAGTCATAAACAATTAACAATCATTAGAAATGCTTTTTAAAAAAACGTATCATAATAAAATGCTGATAAAAAAGAAAAGTTATATAAAAAGATCAGAAGAGAAACAGAAAAAAAAAATTACTTACTTCTGAAATGTAACCATAATGTTAAGAATCACACTTTTCTAGGTTACTGTTATCTGTCTTACTGTTCTGGAAAAAAATTATAATAAAAGAATATAGTCTGTAATGAACGCTCCATTAAAATGTTACATATTACATTAAAAAAAAAAAGTTTAAAAAATGATGAATTAGACTTGCCTGAATATTACTGTAAGAAGAAAATCTGCCGTAAAAAGCTTATGGTTCAGTTTAAAGTAATCTAGTTTCTATTCTTCTAGTTTGTCTCTCAAAATATACGTTAACGAGCTTCAGAACTTTACAAATATGTGTAAAAACTAGTAAAAAATCAACCAAATATTCGGAAAAGAGCCGAATGTTCATGACATCCCTAATGTATAGTCATATAAATCCTTACACACCAGATTCTTTTTTTTTTTTTTTTTTATTAATTTTTTGGAATTTTATTAAAACAAAACTTTTAAACAATTCTAAATTATCACATTTTCATGAAGGTGGGTTGAGCCATGGAAAAAATGCTGAATATAAATAAATCAGGCACTTATTTATATTCAGCATGTGCAGTAACAAATTTAATTTGTTTGAATTTTTTAATGTCACTTTGATTAATTCATCTTTTTCACCTGATTTATAAAATGATTGATTCCAATCAGCAATGCAGTATTTCTTGAACTCAATTATAAATTTTAATTAATGGTATGGAGAATATTAGCTAATTGCTACTGGTTAATCTTTTATTCAATATAGCAATACTTTAAAAAAAAAATACTAATCTCGAAATTTTATAAATTATTCAGAGCTCCATTTTGAACAGTCTGCCCTAAATAAAGTAAGTCTGAAATTAAAAATAATATATTTTTGTAAAATTCTTTTTGCAATAAAACTTACCTAACTCAGCTCTATTTAAGTACAATAAATTGTGCTTAGGTAGAGCAGATTATAAACATATATATACATATTTTTTAGTTTGCCTTTTTCAAAAGTAGACTGGTATACTCATTCAAATAATGTAATAATTTGTGTTCTTAATTTTTCGTAAAAAGTTGTCCCAATTTTTCTTTGGTTTACTACGAAGTTTGTACTCATTCATATTAAATATTCTACAGGGACAGATTGGTCTATTATATCGTATTACTAATCAATAATTACTTAAACATTACTTGGCTAAAAAGAAGGCTCATCACTTTTACTTTCTGAAAATAAGAAGAAAAATTTTAACAAAAAAGCATCATTAAATCTTATTAAATTTTTAGTTTCTAAATGTGGTAGGTGGATATAAAAAATCAATGAACAATCAAGAAACAGAAGGACTTTAATAAAATTAACGTATCGCACAAATACAATGACAAACATACTGTAGCAGATGTATCTAGCGGGCACTGAGTTTAACAAACTAAAATAAATAATGCTTATAATACTAAAGTAAATAATGTTTTACAAACTAAAATACATAACAAATTATTATTTAAACAATTTTTTAGTCATATTTAAACATAATGAAAATCTCTTAGATTCACTGGTAAAAATATGGTACAAAATTTTTTCAGAAGAACAAAATAAATATGGTGAAAAAAAATTCCCTTTAAGATTGCAATGCAAAACTGTCGCACAAAGTTGTGATATGTTGCTCATTAGGGAACTTAATTTGCTATGCGTATGGACTTAATGTTTAATTTTTTTCTTCCCCGACCACTTTAGACAAATTTTAATTGACATCATCACATGTTGAAAATGGAATAAAATATTTTAATCCCATTAAATTCAAAGTTCACTTATACTACAGCAGATATGCCAACTGCTCCAGACAAGCCAAAATAATTTTAAAAAACGGTAAATAACTACAAACTAAATTTTGCTAATATTCGACTATTTTTGCTTGCTTTTTAAAAGGTGTAGCATAACATAACTACTATAAAGTGGTGAATTATATAAGCCAAAGAATTATTTTGAAATAGTGGTGAATAAAAATCTACTAAATTGAATTTATTAAACCAAGAATCACAATTGATAAACTACCTCTTTAAAATATTTATTTGCTGTCCGGAGCAAGTTGGCATCTCTGCTACAGTCTTTTTTAAAAATATAAAATATTATTTCACGTTTATTTAAACTTCGATTTCTCAGGAACTATTTAACCGATTTCGCACAATTTTGTATTTTGCCATGTAAAGTTTTGAAACTTTAAAATTATGTAAAAATTTATATACCTTACTATTCAAAAGTTTTTCAACTGATATTAAATGAAATAATAAAAAATAGAACATATTTACTAAAATTTATAATTGTGTGCAAACATTTTTTTTTTTTTTCAATTTTGCTTGTGAAGTTCTCTAGATGTAGCCACATATGTAAAAATTAACATTAGGGGGTCCAAACTTTGGATTGCTCTCCTGACCGAACTATTGGGACCCTATTTCCCAGATTGTGGCTACCCTCTATAATTTGGGGATCTGAAATCAGAGTCTATCTTAAAAAAAGGTAAGTTTATTCAGAGAAAGTACGTTTTTGTGTCTGATTTCGTAACGTTAAATATCATATACACTAATTAGCATATTTGAGGTCACCCCCTCTAAACATTAACATGGAGTCCTAGAGCATGAAGATCATTAGATCTAAAGTTATTCAGGGTAATCAAATTTTTTTTTTGTTGCACTGTACAGAAATATTAAGAAATAACTTGGTATTCTTTAACGAATACTACACATTAAATGTTCGCAGCTGTATGAAAAATGTGTAATTTTATATTTGTTCTCATTAATCAGAGATCAAACTTAAACAAAACCACATTTATGAGAGACCAATGTATGTTTTGCTGATAACAATGAAGGAGTTTTGAAATTAATTGTGCAATTCAATGTTTTGCTATGTAGGATACAGCTGGACAGGAAAGATTCCATGCATTAGGACCAATATATTACAGAGATAGCAATGGGGCGATTCTTGTTTATGATATAACAGATGAAGACTCTTTCAAAAAGGTATTGATAAAATAATACACTTGACATATTAAAATCTTGACTATTGTCTCTCAATTTTCTGAAAATAAAAGCGAGCAATGACATTCTAATTCAAAAGAGTTCAATTATTTCACAATTTGAAATTTCAATTTTTATAAAATATACATTATGCTATAAAAATTTATTTTCTTTACAGTTATAAGTTAGTATTTCTAAAATAATAAAGAATTGCAGGCAATATTAGTTATACAGTACTGATCCAATTAGTTGGAATCAAATGGGAGGGGGGGGATTTGTTCAAGTACCCAGTTTTTCCTGATCAACCAAGACTAATAATTGTTAATCATTTGCAAGACTGATTTTTTATACCTGATAATTTTCGAAACAACAGGAAAAATATCTTTAAAACCCCTTTCCTTATGTTAATTTTACTGGGAAAAAAAAGTATTTATAACCCCGAATGTGACTATAATAGAAATTCAACATCAGCAACAGAAAATTCAAAATTAAGATTTTTATAAAAACTGCACATTGAAAAAAAAATTTTTTTTTTCAATGTGCAGTTCAATGTGCAGTAGAATTGAAAAAAAAAATTTTTTTTTCAATTTCCTGAAATATTATGTTAGCATTGTTAGAGTTATTGAGTGAAAAAAAATAGTTGTCCAGTCCTTTTTCTGTAACTCCAATTCAGCTTGTGACAGAAAATTTGAAATTTAGATTTTTACATACAGTTAAACCTTGATACAACATTGTTTTGAAGACAAATAAATTAACACACTTTTATCATATTTCATTAGTAATTATAAACACATTTTTATCTTGTTTCATAATTTTCAAAGTAAAAAGCTTAGATCTCTAGCTAAATATTAGATATATTTTTAAATAATAAGTAATTTGATCAACTTATAAAGCAATATATATATAGAATATTGAAGTGCTTAGGAAACTGTTCTTGTCCTAGTAGCAGAAGCCTCTGAATTTATATGCAAAGCCCACAATTAGATATTTCTATTTACTACTTTTTGTCTGAAAGCCAAAAATAAACATGCAGACCCAATTGCTATGCCACTTTAACTCTTCTGCTAAGATTCTAGTTCAAACATTTTTTTTTTAGATAGTTATAATCATTTAGTCTTTTCATTTAAACTTAGCATACAAATTTACACTTTTTTATTTAAGAAATTGCTTCTCAAATGCAAAATTGCTTGATTTTAGGTCAAAAATTGGGTAAAAGAGCTAAGAAAAATGTTGGGGGAAGATGTTTGTCTTTGTATTGCTGGTAATAAAATGGACTTGGAAAAAGATAGAGCTGTACCTGTTGGTGAAGCTGAATCGTAAGTAAAAGAAAGCATTAATTTCCATATAAGCAATTTCCATGTAAAATAATTTTTTGTTTACTTTATTTATTTATTTATTTTTTTAATTCAAAGATATGCTGCATCTGTGAAAGCAAAACATTTCATGACTTCAGCCAAGCAGAACCGAGGAATTGAAGAGCTGTTTCTAGATTTGACACGAAGTATGCATTATATCTTAAATGTTTCTGTCGAAAGCTGTCTTAATCAATCTCCTAATCTATAGTGACTTATACAAAGAAAAATTATTTATTTAGGATTTTTTGTTTATGGCTTAGAAGGGTATTGGAATAAGACACCCAAGGAAGAAATACTTATTTTTCTCATGTTTTAATTCTCATTAAAGACTCTTTTTAACATTGGTTCCTCAAGTTTTCCCTTAGAATCAATAGAAATTGTATCAGTGAAGCTTCATGAAATTTTTCATCTTAGTCCTTTCATTTTTTTTTTTTTTCAGAGTGATTGTATTCCAGCTGTACCTCGAAATTCTGGGTCTACTGTCGGGGTCTAAAAGCTAAGAGCAAAGCCTGTAATTTTTACACCGAATTCTAAGTATCTCAAGACCAGCGGTACCCAAACTTCCCCGAATTGAATGTATAATGCAAAGGAATTTTCATGAAGTTCTAGGATTTAAAGCTTTTGCTGAATCCTATTAACCCCTCAACTGCCGAGTAAAATTAACGTGATTCACTCCCCAGTGCCACCGTTTCTCGCTCAAGTGCACTTTCTTGCACGGTGTTTTGAGTGAGAAAAATGATGCACACTTTGCAATTTAAAAACGGTTTAATTTTACTTGACAAGAAAAAGGAAAGAAAGAAAATACAAAATTTAAATTAAAAAATGAAAATACAATATAAAAGATGTTAAAACTTAGCTGTTGTATGATAAATCCTGAAACATGGTTGGACGAATTTTTTTTCCTTGAACAAACAGCACATTTTCGCGATGCATTTTTCTTTGAAGACGTTGATGGAAAGAATAAAAAGCACCAAGTACATACGGGAAACAAAAGCGAAAAAAGAATAAAGCCGACCTTACTCAAATAAATACACACAAGCAATTAATACAATATCACTTTTCCATAACATCCTTTTCCCATTCCCTCTCCTCCGAAATTAGTAATACATTCGCAAAGCAAACACTTTCAAGGCCATTTTACTGCATTCTGAAGTAGGGGGTGTAGTTCTATTCTATAGCAGCACAATGCAAAGCATCGTACTTCGGGAAAGCGTATACGAGGGTTGTAAATTAAATAGTGGCAACTTAACCTTGAAACTCCCAAAAGGGTGCGCATGCGTAAATAGGGTATGGGTGCGGTGAGGTGGCGCTGTTGTCGATGTGTAGAGTGCAAAAAAACAGTCGATTTGCTTAGAAGGGTAGTTGTTGCGTGGCGTTAAAGTGAGGAGTTTCGTTTCCATTGCTCTAAGCATGTTGTGAAAAGGCTTAATGACGAAAAAAGACGAGATGCTTGAATCCATCGTGCTACTGTCCTATATGGTAAAGCATTTGCTCCAAAGGCTTCCACTAATCCTCGATAGCATTCTGTTGCATTTTTGCCACGGGCAACCTCGATTGTAAGCCACGACCGCTGATCACCTTTTGAAAACATGCTTTACAGCGATGGAAACGAAACTCCTCACTTTAACGCCACACAACAACTACCCTTCTGAGCTAATCGACTTTTTTTTGCACTCTACACATCGACAACAGCCCCACCTCACAGATCCCATATCTAATTTGCGCATGCCCGTCCTTCTGTGAGTTTAAAGGTTAAGTTGCCACTATTTAATTTACAACCCTCGTATATACGCCTGCGGCAGTTAACACATCGTCTGACCGAGGCGTATATATACGCCCGCGGCAGTTAAGGGGTTAATAAGAGGTTTATAAATATGTGATTCTTCTGGGAATTTGATACTTTTCGTTTGGAATATTTTTACAATTTTCAATTGTTGGAACTGTGCCGGAATCCACTAATATTGTGATTCGTATTCCCGCAATTATAATTTCAAGCATCAGTTTTCATATATTTGCCTGATTTTGAAGTAACATAGTGCAAGTATTATTCAGACAATTTAAAAATTGTACATTGCAATTTGTAATTGCGTATTTTTAAAATCGATAGCGTGATTCGTATTCATGAGTTTGTAATATCAAACATTGATTTTCGAACAGGTACTTGATTTAAAAGCTATGCATTGTGATTCGTATTGACATGAGTTATTTGTATTTTCGAATTTTTTAAAATCCAATATCTCGTTTCATATTCACATAATTTTTAAAATCCATTATCACAATTTTTGTAAGCACTAAGTTTTTTCTTAGATAAGTTTCTATAAATGTTCTTCATTGAAGAGCTATATTCTTCTTTCGTAGGTAATTTAATTATAAATCGTAGTTCAAAAAATCAGATTTTACATATATGGTATATAATATCTTGATATTGTGTGTCTGCAAATAAAATTTTCAGGGTTTTCCTCATTGTGATAAGATTACCCCTGTTTTTCATATTTATTACATAATTATGAATATGTTCTAAAAAAGTATTGAAATATTTCTTCATTTGTTTGCTAAATGCTTCTGATAACAGACATGCCAAATCTCTCGCATTTTGCGGGAGTCTCCCCAATTTTGAGTTATTCTCCCGCCCTCCGGAATTGATTCGAAAAACTCCCAAATTTTACTGCAATCGACGGCCAAACTCAAAATTCCTAATTTTTCTGCGAGAGCGTAAGATTTGTTTTTCTTTCAGCGTGAATTCCATCCCCTCTTATCGAACTACCATCTGCCTGAAGCGTAGCTGCACGTGCTTTATTTCCTCCCCTTCTTTAACACTCCTATTTCACCCGCCCCCTTACACTGGGATTCGTAGGAATCTTCTTCCTCTCCTTTCGTGTGGAGTTGAATGCGATGACGTCACATAACGATATCGAGTGACGTCCATACAGGAGTGGAGAAACTCGTACTCTCAATAGTTGGAATTGATATTGTATCTTGCTGTTTTTATAGCGTTTAATGTGTATTTTTCCACGGTTGGCAACATTATTCGTTTAGTCTTCATATATTAAAAATATTTTTTTTTCAAGGATGTCTAAGTCGAAAGGGAAGTACCAATTCAACCAATTTCAACAAATCATGTACCAATGACTTTAGCAAGACTTAATTGCGAAGAGCTAAATCTGCAACTCTTTTTTTTTTTTTGATGCATACAGTAGAGAACCATTTATCCAGTATCCAGATAATCCGTGGGAAAATTTTGCTTGGTTCTCCCGCCATTTTGAACTAAAACGATATGAAAAAAAAAGCGGAAATTGGACTCATCCTTGAAGTTGAGTAGAAGAAAATGTGAGGAAAGGGAAAATTTTTTCCCCGTTTACCCAGAGAAACGTCATTTCTTCCGCCACCTTGAAGATTTTAGAGCTTTATTTTCTCCTTTAGGCCGTCAATCAAACTCAAAGGAGTGGCATGCTGATTTCGTTTTCTCTTTGATTTACGAGGGGGTGGGGCAAATGCATTGCACATGCATATCAGTGAACAGAAGATGAAAGAGAAAAATATATTTATCTATTTAACATCGATTAATAAAAATAAAATATTTTTCTTTTAAATAAATTCTGATTCTTTGGAAGTGCCGTATTATTTGCAAGTTTTTCTTATTGTGGAATCACACCTGCTTTAATTAAAAATCGTGTTTTTGTAAAAAAAAAAAAAAAAAAAGAGGATTGCTTTTTAATTTAAGCATGCAATTATTTTATGAAGCAGATTGCAGTTTTGTTTTTCTGTTCCACTACGTTTGATTTTTTTTTTCCTTTTCATGATAAATTTTGCACTCAATAAATTATCATTATTATTCCTAAATTTTATCATTAGGTTTTGTTTTTTTTAATTCCATTGATCTTGCCTTGTTCCAGGTTTTAATATTTATGCTAGTGCCTTCGATAATTTTTAAGTGTTGTTTTTATTTAGATTAATAAGTTTTCCTTTTATTTTATCGTCCCCCCCCCTTATAATTAGGTATGAAATATATTGAGTTATTTAATCATTGGTTTTGTTTATTAGTTAATTTAGGAATAGTAATTATTTTTTAAACTTGTTTTTCTTGTCTAAACTTGCAAATTTTTTTATTCTTTAAATGTTCTTTTCTACAATTTTTTTCCTTTTTAGATTTAGGAGTGCTTTTCTTTTTTCTCTTACTTTAAAATGTTTGTACACTTTTTCCTTGTAATCTGGGTTCGATAAAACATCGATTAACGACACTTTTTGGTCAATCCAGAAAACAGGGAGATGAAGACATCCGGGATAGCGATGGTCCCGAGCATCCCGGATAATTTGTTCTCTATTGTACAGACATTAGTATTATTATACATTAGTATTGAATTGGTTTTTTAAAATAAAATAGTTCTTCAATTTGTTTATTTTTTAAAAGTTTTTGTGCATTTTTATTACAGTGTCAAGGGTTTTTGAATGATGTTTTATTAAGGAAATGGTATTTATTTTTTAAATTAAGAGTATCTACCTAATATAGTTTTGTGTTGCTAAATCTGTGTTTAATTATTTTATTTCCATTTAATATTTTTCCACAATTTCTGCTCTATTAGTGTGTAAAATTTCTTGCATTCTTATATTTAATAAATTTTTTACTTAAAATTCCTTAAAAGTGTCAAATGTTGCATCCGTGCACCTTTTTTTACCCCTCCTGAATTCTTGTTAGGGAAATTCCTGAATGTTAATTTTGCTAGGTTGGCACGTCTGTGATAATAAACCTATTGTTTATTTTGCGAATTTTATAATTTATCAAATTTTGTTAATTTATTTTTGTTTTATAAACAAAATACTTTTATAAACATAGCTAACCTTACAAGTTATTTAAAATACAGATTCCAGTCTTAAGTAAAATGTATGAAATATTTTAATGGTATTAGGTTTGTGCACATGAAATATCTAATAAATAGATATCACACTTACTGATATCTGAAAAATCCAGTATTGGATGTACTAAAAATCTCCGTTTACATAAGCACACTGTTTCCACATAGGTAAGTCTGTGATGCTGAAAAGTCATCAACTGCTGGTTTTATATTTTGAATGGTTGCATGCTTCTAGTATAAAACTTTGTGAATCTCTATTTACCAAGTAGTTTGTTCATTGACTATCTTCTATTTCTGTGAGATTCCAAATAGTATCTAGAATTGAATCATAATTTAAATTTGTAAAGTAAGATGAGTTTAAAATCTGATTTTTCCAGATTTAGTTTAAAAGCACCGTATACTCAAATTACTAAATATAAATTTGCAACTTTTACACTATTCATTTGATTCTGATTTATAAAAGCTGTGTTGTCTATACCAGAATTTTTCCGTAGATTTTGCTTACTGGCAATCAATACGCAACACCCAAGGCTCTTTTCTATTATACATTCCATTTATATCTGGTGTGGCCAACCTTTTGGGAAAGGTGTCACTTTTGGAAGAAACAAATGAGTGCTGCTTCCAATTTTTCCAGTTTTTTCAACTTTCTCAAAGATTTATAGAAAAGTGAAAGAATGTTATTTATAGACTGATTTTGGGAAATTCGATGCAAATTGCGAATTTTTTCCCTTTATAATTCTATTCAGATTGGAAACTTTGAAAACATAAATAAAACAAAGGTAAAAACTTAATTTTTATTCCTTGTGAATGTTCCTAAAACTTCATTTAATTAAGCAATGTTTAATATAAAAATGAATAGCTTAAAACATTGAATTTCTATCTAATTATTAAACATCTAAGTAGTAAAGCTTTTATAAATTTTGCCCAAGCTCCTGAAGGCAACATTATTTTTTTTATTTATTTAATTTCTCAAATAATGTGTTTACTTACCTACCTCTCTGCTGTGGGTGGGCCATCCATGATAGACCCAGCAATTTTACGTATACAAGTACATATGAATTTGTAATTTTTTTTTTATTTCTAAGTAACTAATAATGAAATATAAATTTTCACTTGAGAATGTGGAATAGGTAAAAAAATATAAGCACATAGTCTTTTTATGGTAATATTTTTTAAGATTTTTAATCCAAAAGTTTGTTTGACTCAAAACTTATATTTTCAGCTTAAAAACTTGCCATTTACAGGCAGACACTTTTTTTTTTAATTTATAATTCTTATGTTGCTCATTTTAAAATCCTAAAATAAAATTCTTGGAATAGTAGGTTATGGTTTTGTGCAGTTCACGATCTTGTAGAAATAAGTCGTAGTTCATATTATCATTAATTTTAGGCTACAAGAGCTACTTCCCAAATATGGAGACAGAAAAAATTTGAATCTAGATTTTAAATTAGTTTTTTTCCCATTAAAATGATCTTAAGCTTGGACTCTAGTCTAGTTATTGATATATTGGCATATGTTTGAGATATGTTATAAATTGTAAGGAAAAAAATATCTATATAGCAATTAAATGAACTTAAAAATTTCAAGGCTTCTGCTATAACAACACACACTAACACCATGACAAGTTTCTGTTACATGAGATTATGAGCAAATAACATTCATATAATTTTTATCAAATCCATTTTTCTTTTTTAAATATAAAGTTGAGAAAGCTTTGTTTATAAATATATGTTATATGTACATTCTAACATTTTAAAAAATTTAATATCAGTGTTTAGTTATAAATAGTTAAGTTCTTTTTAAAATACGTTTTTTAAAAATTTCAGAAATTTCAAGTGTAATAAAACATTTCTTCATTAGTTAATTGTTATATCATTACTTTTGTTCTCAATTTATCAATAGTTGGCTTCTTTTCAGCAATTATAGTTTGGCAAGAAGCTGAATAGTACTAATAATTATTTTTCCAGGAATGATTGAAGTTTCTGAAGCTAATGATCAACATGCCAATAGTTTGGGAAGAGGAAGTACTCAAAGAAGAAATGTAGTAATAGTAGATGATGAACCGCAACAGCAAAGATCTGGTTGTTGTGGTGGTGGGTGATGAATTGCAAAAGTATACCATTAACATTTGCTGCTGATTGAAAACTCTAAATAAATCACATCTTCAAATTCAAATACAGCTGTTCTAAATATATATTATGTATGTATGTGGAATTGTTAAATTTTTACCACTGACACATATGGAACTATTTCAAGAATTTATGTCATGAAACTTGGTATCATTCAAATTGTATAAAACAGGTACTTTTTATTGCCATTATCTGTATTCCAACTTGGTTTACATTATGCTCTAAAAGTTACTCTATAGTAATATTTAATTCTTTTGTACATGAAATATAACTTTTATATATAAATTGATAATGCATCTTTATTTCCATTTTTAAAAATCTTCCACCTTAAAATTGTAAAATTTTAATTTGTTAAATGCTGCTTGAATTACTTTGCTCAGACGATAATATGTATCTGATTGTATTTAACTCACAAATGAGTATGAGAGAACTGTTAAAATAAATTTCAAAACCAAGGGTGTAAAAAATGTCAATAAATCTAAACAAAATAATCTTTTTACTAGTGCAAAACTTTCTGTAAATTGTGTGTGTTGTTGAAATGTTTAACAATATAATGTAATTAAATCAGAAACCTCCATCTGATAAAATCAGAGCAGTTTTCTTAAAAGTATTAAAAAAGGTGATATTGTGATTTAAAGAATTTTCTACTTTTTTTCTACTACTCAGATGCTATTGTTTGTTTCTTAGCATAAAAGTAGAGTTCTTTTTGTTAGTTTTTGAGCTTTATCTACCAAAGGTATAGTCTGCCCACATAAAGAACTCTCACCACAAAGTCCGCCTGGTGCTGTGGAAACAAGAAATGGCACGTTTCAAAGAGGGGGAGCTTTAATATAGACTAGAGAAAAATAATTCTTTTATCTGAGCAATGCGAGCCAAATCCTGTATTAAATATTTACTAAATATCCCTACTTCAAATAGTTAAACCTCATAACCATAATCAACACTACTGCTCTAGAAAAATGTTAAGGGAAGTTCTTTACATAGACAGACTATACACAAGTTTGCCAATTACTATGGGAACAAAATCAATGTGGAGAAACAGTGTTTCAACAGTCATTATTCTTTCTTTTTTTTCCTTCAAATTGTCCCATTTAGTTTTCTAAGAGTATGGTGAAGAGTTTTTAAACCCTTTGAGAGAATTTAAAAACTTCTGTTTGTAATACAGTGAAATCTGTAAGTTGATCATTTGTAGCTCAACATTTTGATTGTCTACTTACACAAGTGGCCATCTTATAACAGGGAGATTTTCTTTTTCCTAATTTGATTTAAAAAAAGTCAACTTACAAAGGTAATTGTCTTAACAGATTTCACTGTATCATATTTGATCAAAGGTAGCCTAAAAATAAATATTTTTCTATTATTACTCTAAGGGGAGGGATTTATATTATATTGTAATTTGTAAAAATAAAAACTTCCGATAGAAATTGTATTACCTCTTTTATACATAGGGTTTGTTATTTTGTTTGATGACATGAAATCTGTAAGCAATTATGAAGTGCCACATAATTAAGGCAAAAGCTTTATAAGTGAATGTTTAGCTTTTTCTGTATATTAAGGTTCCTGATAATTATTTAAGATATTATTCATTAATGATTTAATGTTTATTCTCTTGCAAATGATTGTAAAAAGTGTTGTAGTTGTTTTATTCTTAACCACACATTTTGGTTGAACATTACTTGTAAAATATGATTAAACAAATTTCTATATAAATATATATATATCAATAAATTTAAACTTAAAAATTTTGTTCTTTGTGCCTTTTTTGTAATACACACATAATTTTCGAATATTATTTTAAATTGGTACATGACAAACTACAGAATACAATAGGTACAGATAAATCCGCTGCAAAATATTGAATTCTTTTCACTTCCTACTTAAAGACATACATAACTCTCACAACTTCTGTAAAATTTGCATATTTACTATATCTTAAAATAAGCACTGAATAAAACTTTAATAACATATTTTAAACATTAAAAATTATTTCTTAATTATGATATTGCACTCTTAAAGCAGCATTCTATTATTCTAATCTTGTTTCTGATCAGAAACTTATAAAAAAAATCCTCTTAATGATGCCTGCTTGGTTTATTTTATAACCTGCATTAAACTGCCAGCCCAATTCTGAGTTTACGACTATCAATGCTCAACTCTGTATCCTTGTAATTTTGAATGCAACCCAGAAGACAAGGATTGGGACAAACTTGCTTTTGTGGAGTACTTTTTTTGCTGGATTTGCATTACATGGAGTACAAAACCTCCCATGGTTAGCCCAGGCGGCCAAAGGATTCTATCCCATGATCTAACTATCTCTGAGGATATTTCACATCAGCACTATGCTTGGTTCGATCCAAGAGCAGAATTAGTTTCAACCAGCCACCTCATTTTGGAGGTAAACACTATCTACTGAGCCACTGCGGCTCAACTGTTTGGTTTAGGTAATTTTGAAAAGTTAGTTAAAACCTGCAGTAGGAAATAAGTTTTTTTGATTCTCTAGGAAGAAAAATACAATTTTGATCTATGGCCTAAAATTTAATTGTCACAAATACTTGATAAAATTAGTGGTGTGTAGAGTTCTGAAAACAATTGCTTATTTATATAGCATGATCCTTAGGTACCTTAAAAGTGCTTAATAATTTTCCTTTATTAAAAGATAGTTTTTTATTCTTTTCTGAAGAAAATTTTACCTCATGAAGCTTGCTTATCAAATTTAAGTTTCTGCCTGTGGGACAAAGTACTAATTGAACAAATATAATGAATATTTCCTCTTTTTTTTTGCACAGTTGTAATAAAGTTCAGGAATTATTCATTCACCAAAAATTGCTTATGTCATATCAATTTTAATTCTCATGTCCTAGTAGATCTATTTAACATGCTTGTCTGTCATTGAACTATTTCCCTGATGTATGGAAAACAGAAAACATCATAATCTTACCTAAAGCAGCCAAAGATTAACTAGCTGTCGACTTATAACCTTATCTCTCATAGAGTGTAGCACAATGGTATTTATTACAAACTGATAGAACTAAAATTCGTAATGACTAAGTTCATACACAACTATCTGGCAAATAGAAATGAAAAATGTGAATTCGACTGTGAGAAGTATCAGAGCAGGAGTACCGAAGGGTAGCATATATATGACCTTTTTATACACGATTTTCCTATTGATAGAGATGACTATGTACTGTATTCTATGCCGACGACACAGGTGTTATTGTTATATCTAGTAACCCAAATCTGGCAATTTAGAAACTGCAAGATACAATTATACGAAGAATGGCGTTTTGATTGGAAATTCAAGATAGATACTCATAAGTCACAATTGTTGATTATACAGAAAGACAGGAGAGCATAATGAACTAATACTTTTTAATAAAATGATTCCAAGAGTAACAAAAGCAACATACCTTGGTCTAGTAGTTATTAAACTAATGTGGTCACATCATGTGAAAAATGTTAAGGACTAAGTAACTAACTGTTGTTAAACTGCGAGTACTTGTGTTTAGTAGAAAACTGAAAAGACTGCTTTTTATTTCCATGATTAGACTGATCATGACCTACACCTCTCCGGCATGGTGCGACATCTAAAAGAGTGAGCTGGGCAAACTCGCAAGACAACAGAATGTAATTCTGAGAAAGAGTACGAATGTGAGATAGTATCAAAGGAACAGTGATAATCACTCCGACCTTAACATTTGCAGTTTCGAACATCATTTTAACAAACTGAATTGAAATTTTTTATGAAGAAGCGTTGAACTGTGATGCTGAAAATTTAAACAGTATTTTTGACTATGAAAATCTCATAGAAGATTTCTCCCTAAGGCCAATTGCACACTTTTCTTTCAAGTGATGCTATAATGATCATTTGAGTAAAACTCAATGGTGTGCATATAGTGAAATATTTTATGGCAAAAATGAGAAAGCGCTGACAATATTCAAATTGAATATACAGTTGAACTTATAATATATTTTAATGGCAAATAAATATTTGAATAAACGTTGTTTGTTATAGATGACTTAATTCATATTGAATACGATATAGAAATAGAATTATATTTGCAATTTATGTGTTGACTTTGAGCGTTAAATGTTTTTATGACTAACTTCGTTCAGGAAGTATAATTTTTCCTATTACTCTTATTTTATTTTCTATGTGCATTTGAACCATTTATAATGATGTATATTTGGGTAATGTGCCCATTTATTAATTTTCTACTTTTATTTCTAGGGTACAAAGAACACACAGACATCACCTCAAGTTACCTCATGTTATCTATGAATGGGTAAAAGGCCACAATGGCCTTAGGTATCCAGGCCAAACTTTTATGAATGACTGATGTCCTAGTAGGCAATTCTGATTTAATTTTTTTTCAAGGGGGGGATCATTCACTAATTCATATTTTCAAAGAATGATTAGAATAAGACAGTTGTACATTAATCTTTCACCTTAAATCTTTCTTTTAGAATGTTCATTTTTTAGTTTCAAATAATAGATCTTAATAATTCACAAATAAATACAATGTTTAGAACTTGTGGATCATCCATTGAAAGTATTTCAGAGATCTGATTTTTTGAAAAATTAATGTACCTACTTTATTTATTCATTTTGAAATTATAGAACATCATGATTAGGTTGTGAAACCTAACCATTAATTTTAGAGACCTTCCACAAATTATACTCATTTCAGACATCTGATCTTACCTACAAGGTTAAGTTTTTGGGATTCTAATAGTTTAATTTTTAAAAAATATCAATTAACTATTCTGCTTTTGCCTGTTTTTAGAGTTATAAATTGAGGGTTCATTGACTTAAAACTTCCAATAAATGTAGGAACAAATCTTGTGGAAGGGTTTTATAGTTTCAAAATTTTAATCCATTTCTCTCATTTGATTTAAAAATAAATCATCATAATTACAATTCTGTGAAAACAGAATTTTTGAATGGTAAACTGAGAGAATGGTTCCATATCATTTGTTTCTCTCCAGAACTTTTATAATTATTTGGTTATGATATAAGAAAGCCTATTATTTATTCAAAAATTTTTCCATTCTTTTTTAGTTACTATATTTTCACTAATAGTTGAAAATGATTTTTGTTCAACTATTTTTAGTAACTAAAAAACGGAATATTTTTAATTACTAACTAAATTTACTAGGACAAAGTCGAAGGATAAATATATTTAGATGATATAGAATTGCTAAGAGACAAGTTGATCAAAAATCCTGTATCGAAGACAATCTCGGGGAAAAAAGAAGTAAATCGTATTTGCCTACTGAAGTGAGATGCATTTGTTCTTCTGATGATAGATTGAAATCATTCTACTTATAGGTTTCTTACAATACATCTAAAAATGGGTTCCGTGAATTTATGAAAGCTCTTACTGAACTTTATTTTCAAATTCCCTTGATTTGACTGAACTGTTTTAATTTTGGGATTTTTTTTCTTTAAATCAACCTTAGAACATTTTAATGTTTCTAACTAAAGCTCTTCGTATTTTTAGAAAATAGGAAAAATTTTACACATTTGAATCACTGTCAAATTTTCATAGTTTCTATTTAGCAGCATCTTGATGAATCAAGAGTGAGGCAATGGGTACTGAAAATATTTTTTTTTTATTTCTTGGGTAGGGATATAGCACAATAAATGAAATATTATTGCAAGAATAATTAGCAAGTGACAAATGAAAAAGAGGCAGATCCATGCTAACATGGAGAAGAAAGAAAATAGGTGAGGTGGACGAGCTGGTCCAAGGCGAGATCTTGTGGGGAAAAAAAGATCCGAGTGAGCTTATGTACCACTGGGCACAAAGTAAGATAAGTAATTAGCAATCTTTTTATAAATCAAATTGCTTTTGTGTTCGATCTGCAACAAATTTTTTGTGAGGATGATTTCTGGAAAAGATTTTGAAGTTGAAAGGTTTCACTGGGCTTAAAAAGTGGAAAACTGAACTTGAATTCTCCAATCTAGGAAATGTTTCAAATTTAGTTTGATAATATACATGGTAACATTTCTTTGATTTAATCCAATCTTCTATTTCAGAAGATTTCGTGAAATATCTCCTCCCCATATTATGGAACTCTGGGCAGAATACAAGTTTTAAAATAAAAATGTAAGAAAGACCTATGTTAATTAGCAAAAGGGGTAAGTTGACTTTCATTTTCTGTTTGCTTTTTTTTCTACGCTGCACACAGATGGGATTATAATCCATTTTCTTGTCAAAACTGAAATAAAAGTAGTTTCAGCATACTTGAGAATCTATTAATTTACCCAGAAATAGCTCAAATTATTAATTTGTGTGATACAGGGGTCAATTTCCTTGTTATAAGCATAAACAAAGGACTGGACTGCTATCCTTTCTGCTTTACCCTACCTTACTATAGATTTTAAATCTAGTAGCAGCTGTATAATATACAAGCTATTGTTATTTTAAAGTACGTACTTCCTAAATTTATGTTGCTATAAACATTGTTTCTTTAAAATTATGAGGGTCAAAATAAAAATAGCTGCTTTTCTATATTTTTGCAAGCTTTCATAGGTTCTGATTGATTTAAAAGATTTAGCAATTTTTTCTCAATATGGGTCCATTCATTTCTAACTAGTAATAGGGATTTAGTAGAAAAGAATCTGTGGCCTCATAATAGAATTAAGGTCTGTTTAAATACTATGCAAACACCTAATGGGAGAAGGGATTGCAATATGTTTATTTTTTAATATAAGGGGTTTAGTATATGTTTATTTTTTAGTATAGTTTGAGCAATTCTTGTGTGAGACATAAAAATCCCCTTTTTCTCAAAAATTCAAATAAAATAAAAATAAAAAACAACATGAATCTTATTATTTTAAGATTTTATTTCTTTTTATTCTACAAGAATTTTTTTTATTCAAATTTAATCCCAAAACTAGATTACTATAATAGTAAATGTCAAAGGTAAAACAAAATCCAGGAGGGTATACAATTTGAGTAAACATGGAAGGGGGTCTGTGATTTGCTTATTTTTGCTGGCAAATGGGGCTAGCCCAAAATTGCCAAAAATATGCTTACATAATATTTTAACAGTCCCTTTTTGGTATATAGAGGATGCTGTTGAATCAATGAAGGCTAGCTGTAAAATTTGATGTGGATGTAGTTGGAGCTAGTGAACTGATAGACTTTAAATGAAAATGTATAAAAAAGGACATTAACTCAAGAAACCTCTTCTTAGTAATAAGGTCCATTTTGTCAGTTTTATAAAGCATTTTAAATACAATTACGAAATTTAAGAATGCATGATTGCAGTCAATTTATTGACTTGAAAAGCAGGTCCTGCTAGAAGTGTTCTCCTTGAAATAGCAAAAATAAAAAACATATTTTAACAGCAGATCGTATGTTCTGAAAATATATTTAATTATTTGATTTCTGTATTTTGAGGGTCGGATATGATAAAACCCTATGTTCCTAAAACCTATCAAGTTTATTAGTTTACTATGTAAAAATTACAAGTAGTAAAAATATAATTGTCAAATGAAGGGGTAACTGATACACCTTCATTTGACACTTTCTGGTGTCCTACCACCCAGTTTACCCTACCTTACCGTTTTTATTGATGACACCTTCATCAATAAAAACTGAGATATGAGTGAGAAAATCTTTTTCTTCCCCTTCCTCAGAATAAAAGATGCTTCAGTACTTAAATTGTCTGCAAACACATAAAAATGAACATCATTAAAATTATTTCCTAAAAGATAAACTAAAATTGAAGAAAACTTCACAGTTTTTGTGAATCTAAGTGAAAAATATCATAGAAAATTTTCTAATGCACTACATCATAAGATTCAGATTTTTTGAACTGAAAAAAGAAGTTATTTTTAAAAACTTTTTCATCATGCAGTAATCCATTGAGTGTTGAGCACTAGTATCATGATTGTCATTCCGCCTAAGGATCTTGCCCTGTATATTGTAGATTGCATGATTGAAACATAATTTCAATTAAGTTCCAGAAAAATTTAAAATAAATTAAAATTATGTATTTCATCTTAAATTTGATTAATTTGTTTAGTGTTTTCATTTTGTGAAATTATTGAAGTCTGCAAAATAATTCATGCACGAGAGGGTTAAATTAAACCTTTACCAATTATCATTTTCTCCAAATCATTTAAAATCATATTTATAAAAATAAAAACATAAATCTTGAAGCATTAAATCATTTATTGATTTTCAGTGAATTTAGTTATTCTATTTTCATACAGCACATAGAATCGAGCACAAGAAACAACACAGTTCTCTGTAAAAATATAATTTCAAAATAAAACAACTGGAACATATATTTTATATACATTAAAAATCTAGCTTTTGCATAGTTTACTATCTTTTAGCACTTTTTATAAAACTTATATGTAATGGAAAAGTATTAAAAAAAAGCATTCAAATTGCAACTTTATGAAAGTATATCATAAAAGACTGCCTATAAACTATCATTACTTTTCTCCATCATAAGTACATTTATAGAAAAAGACATAATTTTTTGAATAAATTGAAGTTAAAATGATTGTCTGTATTTATTAATTAGAAATAGGAATTTTGCAATAAATTAAGACAAATAATTTTTAATTAATGTACACAATTGAAACACATTTTCAGTTAAAATAAGTTCTGAGCTGGATATCAAAGTACCATATAGCAAAAATAAAAATATAATGCTGCATTTTTTTTAAAATAAAATTTAATAGGAATTTTATGTATCAAGGGCTAAAATTTTCAAGAATCCCTGAATTTTTAAAAGATTTTTTTCACATTTTTCGAGTCTCACATTCAATACAACTTTTTCACAAAACTATAAGCTGAATTTCATAGAACAACAAGAATAAAGCATTCATTGGATTTATGCATAGATTTAATAGAGAATTTTACTTGTGTTCACTTTTCATCAGATTTGCATACAAATTTAACAACATCTATTTTAGTAATCCATCCCAGTAAATGTATGATTTTTTTAATTGTATTCATAGTTTTCTATCAATTAAATGTTAGACCCTGACTGTAAAGCTATCTCTCTTTCAACTTGCCACCTTTGAATATATTTAAACATGGCAAGAACTCTTTTTTAAAAAATAAGAATATTTTTTTAAAAGAAATTAAGTTCCAATAAAAAAATGGAAATTGCAATGTTTTCTTAACACCACCTTTGTTTTTTGACTGTTAAAAATATATTCGTTTAAGGACTTAGCAAGAGAGATGGCAAATGAATATTGCACTTAATTTACTTAAAAAGTAATATATATTATGACAATAGATGAACCAGCATATGCTGCAATTTATTTTTAAAAATTTTTTTAACTATATTAAATGTAATTTAAATATATAGAATCTAGAATTATAGATACTTATTTTATTAATTATGTGATCAATATATTTAAATAAGAAACTAAACTTTTTTTCAAACATTCACAATGGCACACCTTCTTAAATATAGTTAATATTTTTTTATAAGAAAAAAAAACTTTTAGCACAGAAAATTAACTATTCCAATTTCAAATCATTTTTATTTTGCAATTTTATTATGCTTTTTTTAATGATTTATTATAAATTTAAATGTCTCTAAAAGTAAAATGAAATAAAAATGAAAAGCAATATAAACATGGTTTTTTAGGAAAAATAATTCAAACATTACTGTAACTAAAAAAATTACTAACTATAGATAAGAATTAGTAAATATTCTTTTTATAGTCATAGTAATCATAAACGTTTTTACATGATAAACAAAGCTCCTTTTTATCGACAAAAAAAACCCACAAGTTTTGTTCTCTTTTTTTTTTATCAATTTGAACTATGTTTTTATTTCTTTTACTTTAATTTAAAATTATAATGAAACAGTTTTAATTGATGACTCAACAGCTAATGCCATCTGTATTATTAGTTTTCGATATAAAAGGAATGAAAGTTTTTCTCAAAGAGGCATGTTCATTTTTTAACAAGCTGAACTACAATAACAATATATTAATAACAGTTTGTATTTGTAAACATTCTGTATAGTACTATGTCAAATAATAAAAAAATTTTGTGCAATAACAATTTAACTATTTACAAAACAGATTTAACTACACAGCAAATTGGAATAACTATTTGTAAGAGAAGAAATAAGAAAATTTTGAATAGTAGTTAACAAGTAAACAAAATAACTATCTAGGTAAAACATCAAGTAATAGACAATACTGATGCAAAAATATCTACCAGCGCAGAAAATACATCTTTTAAATATTTATAGGATACAATTACTTTCTTTTAAGAAAATTCTATTTTATACAGATTTGAAATAAGTATATATGATTGTAAATGTAGAATGTTTTATCAGCACCAATGTTAGATGAATTCTTTGTTTCTATAAAAAAAATGTTTTTGTAACTTTATAAAATGATATAAAGTAAAGTATTCTAGATACAATTTTCACCAGTTGCTTTTAAAATAGCGATGGCGCCATTAGGTGAGCCGGGGGACTAGAGCTCCCTAATTTAATTTAAATTATATAAGATTGTGTTTGGAAATATTCATCACTATTAGTTCTGTATTTATTACGATTTCTTTCTCTTTTTTTTACAAATCGCATTTCTAAAGAAAAAAATTTGATATTTAGTCTATTAGCTATGGTTCAACACTATACTCTTTGTAATTATTAGTCTTAAGCAAGTCACTGTATATCTATAAAAATTGATCTTCTTTGTTAATATTAATGCTCTGTGTATGCTTCATCCAATGCTTATTCTTTCTAAATATTGACTTGTCATAATACTTGCAACTTCTCTATAAATAATACTTGATACTTTTGAATTATACTAGAAGTGTTGAGGCAAATATAACGTTAATGTTTTTCTTTTTTCGATAGATTCATAGTAAGTATATGCTTTAATTAATAGGCCTTAAAGTAAAAGTTTTATTTGGACAAGTGAGAATTTTGAAGATTTTTCAAATGTCATACATACATACGGCACCATGTCTCTCTCACTCTCTCTCTATATATATAGTGCCTTCCTGTTGGGAAACAAAGACTACTCCTTCAAAGAAGTTTTGGCGCTACCACTATTTTAAAATCTTATAAATATAATCAATTATTTGGAACAAAGAGATTTTTCACAAAATCATTAGTTCGTTTGTCATAAATAAGGCTTAAATTCACAGCTGAAATTATTTTACAGTGTTATGTGAGGAATTAATATTGCATAGAAAAATTTAAATTTTTATATAAAATATTCATCACATTGTACTCAGGGAAACTTTACTCAAATGCAAGATTCAACACATTGTTCCAATTTAGATTAGATTAGTAAGGCATGTAAATATTAACAATAAATAAGTAAGCAACACTTTATGATAGATGATTGTTAAATCTAACTTCCTACAAAAAGACTTAATGTAAGAAAAGCGCAATAGCAATTTACATAGCTTTGTAAATTGTACATAAGTTTTTCTACAAGAGAATTTGTGTCTTGTGACATCAAGAAAGTCCAACTTTTCTTAAATTGAAAAAAAAAAAAAAATACAGAAGTATCATTTGTATTGCAATTGTATCAATCCTTAAATATTTTGTAAACTTAATAAAATGATTCACAATAAATTTCTTTAAAAAATTAAGAAAAAAGATAATTTATTTATTGATTTCACTTTATAAAATCAAATTATTTAATTTTAAATGCAGGATAATTAGAAAATAAGTTTAAATTTTAGGAAATTTATTACTAGCAAAATATTGGTTCAAGTTGCATCAAATATCATGGATATCTATGCCAAGCAACATTAACAAGGTTGTGAAGTTAAATTTGGGCATCATTAAAAATATAAATTTTGAACATATTTTAAGGAATGAAAAAGTTTTAAGTGAGTTTTGAATTAATTTGATGCAAAATAAATTCAAAACTGTTTCTGAAATTCATTTAAATAAGTTTTTTTTCATATTAAGAGCTCAAGTTTATTTCATATGAAAAAGTTCTTTTTTAAAGCATTATATCTTTTTTTTTTTAATTTGTATTTTTGACGCTTTAACTAATTTGCTACTAGAACAAATTGTATAAAAGTTTTCCAGTTAAATTCTATTGAATGACATGTGAAGAAACTAGTTTTCCATGTAGGAAAGCTAACAGCTTGTACTCGAAACTAAGTTTAGATTAGATAGTTATATGGTTAATGGAAATTATAGAGATTACACTCACACTTTTAGGTTATCTTTCCATGTGGGGAAATTGTTTTGTATTTTACCTGGTAGTTTTCTAGTAATCAAGTTTTAAATACTTGAACTTATTAAATGTAAACAACATAATGAATGAAAATAAAGACATAGAGTTCTTTCAAACCTATAACTAAGTACCATCATGACTGCCAAAACAAAGAATGAAGCCTTTTACTTCTCTCACTTTATTTTCTGTATAAGTACTGATAGTCAGTGACAAGTTAAGGAACTTGAAGCACTGAAGCAAACATGCAGAATAAATAATTTTCATCAGCATGAAAGAAAAATACAAAAAGAAAGAAAGACTCTGTTAATGATAAATGTGATTTGAGCCATTTAAAATTTCACCTGTCTATTTATTTGATTTTGTTAAGTTGCCTCTTTAGATTTCTGCTTGGAAAACTTAAATAATTTTAGAAAAAAATTTACTGTATTTTTAAAGAATTATATTAGTTTTCAAAGAAATTAATATTGATATTTTTAACTAAAAGAAAAAAAAACCTTAATATTAAGGCCAAATTCCATGAACTATTTAGTTTGATATGTCTACAGATAAACAAGATTTGATTACAATATTTTTCAGGTTTATAATCTGTGAACTAAGACAACACCTTCCTTGCTTTTAAAAATGATAATTTGTGAATTTGATTTATTACATTTTATGCATTTTTTACTTATGTCACTCTATGAAATATTAAAAACATAAATTTTCAACATCTTGCATATTTTAAAATTATTCGAAAATTTCAACAATTTACTAATCCGTTGGTGTTCTCTTTAAAAGAATTTACTTAAAGTTCTAAGTAATAGTAGTAAAACATTAGAATCTTAGTATTCAAGGTTGACCCAAGTATAAATTTATAGATGTTGAATTAGACACAAACTTTATGAGAATGCAAAGGTTAGAGAAACAGAAATATTTTATCTGGGAAATCATTCATTTGGGTAATTTTGAATTGAAAAGTTATTTATACTTAAAATTTCAAGCATCTTTAACAGCTTTTCTGTTTGCCTTGAGGCAGTGGGTACCATCTCTGTTATTTATGACAAAGATGTGTGATAATAGTATCAAAACAGCTGCATGCTTTCAACTAATTTCATTTGTGCCTTCATTGCTACTTTCATATTTTATTTATTCTAATACAAAGACTTTTTCTTTCATTTGATATTTTAATTTATTCTGAAATCACACTGTATATTATACTATAATATGTGTACTTTGAATCTTTTTATTTATTTAGAATATTTTTGTTAAATTTAAAACTTGTTTTTTACTTTGTAGATCCAACTTCTTAAAATAATGTCATTCAAAAACAAGGGATCAATAGTCATTGTAGTAAGTACTTCTACATCTTCACTTAATTCAAAAAATAAATATTTTGTCTTAAGTAGTAACACATTTCTGGTTTAAAAAGTTGAGCAATTATAATATACATGCTACTTCCAGTGATTTGAACAAAACGAAAATTAAAACAAATTTTAAGATCACAACTAAACAAATATTATGCTTTGGCAGCAAAATATAAATAACAAAAATTCAAAAGATCTCAAATCATAATAAAATCACAAACTACATGAATCACTAAGTAGAACTTGTCATAACAATGATTTCAATAAACATTCTAAAAATCAAAATAAAATTTAATACAATAAATTTTGATCATTTATCAATAAAATAATTAAAAAAATCAACAAATATAAAGAGATATATAAATAATAAAAGCATCATAAAACACAATGTGATGCCTCGTTTTAATATATCACATAAAAGTCAATACTTTTTTTATTAAGTACCAAAATGAAATTTCATTTTACAGAAATTTCACAATTTCATCACTTTTTGTCCATTCTGTCTACCGTTTTTTTCAGATATGCTTGCAGTCTCACCGCAAAACCAGATGAAATATGAATACATAAAGTGCTAGATATTTCTTTATAACAAAACATTTTAACGAGTGCATCTGAACCTGCCAAGTTCATATGCTTTATATATTTATATCTTTAATATATATATATTTACTATATATACTAACTGTATCTATACAAATATATATATATGTATTTATATATATTTATTTATTTACTTACACGTAAATCTCAACATTGCATACACAATAAGACTGGATTCAGTAGCACTTTCCCTTATGGCTACCATAACTTTTCAGGAAATGATATATTGCTAAACCCAGGATTAATTCTTACATCCCAATACTTTTTAGTAAAAACCCACTGTTCTTTTCCATCGTCAAGCTCTAATTTCCTAAAAGAGATTAAAATTTATTCAAAATGGATTTTTACACAGTTTAAATAAAATATATAACTGATGAAAAATACAATAAATTTACAGAAACAATCATATGCATGTATACTGAGTATGCGCAATCTTAATACATTTAATATATATATATAGATATATAATCTCTCGCCCCGATATACAATTTAAAATTCTGTCAGAATGGAAAATGAAAAATAATATATACAATAGTTTACATACTAATATTTGAATTAAGAAAAACACAAGCATTTAAGGTGTCTGATAAATTATTAATAACATCAATAAGAATTTATTTATTCAGTTTTGAAATAAAATACAGTAGAGAACCATTTATCCAGTATCCAGATAACTGGGAAACCAGAAAATCGGGAAAAATTTTGCTCGGTTTTCCCGCCATTTTAAACTAGAAAGATTATGAAAAAAAGCGAAACGTCATTTCTTCCGTGACCTTGAAGATCTTCAGATCGAGAGGAGGCGAGGAAGAGATGAATGTTTTATTTTCGGCCTTAGGCCGTCAATCAAACTCAAAGGAGTGGCATGCAGATTTCGTTTTCTCTTTGATTTACGAGGGGGTGGGGGAAATGCATATCAGTGACCAGAAGATGAAAGGGAAAAATATATTTATCTATTTGACATTGGTTAACAAATCAATTAATAAAAATAAAATATTTTTCTTTTGAATAAATTCTGATTCTTTAGAAGTGCGGAATCGTTTGGAAGTTTTTCTTGATGTGGAATCAAATCTGCTTTTGTTAAAAATCATGTTTTTATAGAAAAATAAATAAAAGGAGAATTGTTTATTAATTTAAATTGTTTATTAATATTTATGTTAGTGCCTTTTTTAACTATCGTTTCCGTTTTCGTTGTTTTTATTTCGATTAATAAGTTTTACTTTTATTTTATGGTTTTCCCCCCTGTATAATTAGGTATGAAATATATTGCGTTATTTAATCATTGGTTTTAATTATATTAGTTAATTTAGGAGTTATAATTATTTAAAAAAAATAAATATGAGAATTTTGTATTTTTTAAACTTGTTTTTCTTGTCTAAACTTGTAATTTTTTTTATTCTTTTAAATGTTATTTTTCTACCATTTGTTTTTCTTTTTAAATTTAGGAGTGCTTTTCTTTTTTCTCTTACTATATCGATTAACGACACTTTTCGGTCGACCCAGAAAACCGGGAAATTCAGACATCTGGGATAGCGATAGTCCCGAGCATCCCGGATAGTTGGTTCTCTACTGTAATTTAAACTAAACACAGACTTTTTGGAATGATAACCAACAGAATCTTGTTAAAAACAGGCACATCGAAAATATTAGTGAGAAAAAATTTTTTTTTGCTCATATGCCCTTCTGATCTGATTTTTTGATATTTAAAGTTATTTGGAAGAAATAAGATTAATTATCAAGTTGAAAATTACATTAACAAAACATTTTTATTGTTGTAATCTTATTTTAACCGAGTCACAAATTTTAATCTTGGGGACATTTTCAAAAATCACTAATTTTTTATGAAATATTTAAGAAAGACTATTTTAAATTGTGTTATATAAAGATTTTAAATGCTACCAAAAAAACTTTTAAAAAGTTAAATACGTCCAAAATCTACATTAATATGACTACTATGTAACACCATAAAGAATCTAAACAATTAAAAAAAAAACATTAAAATATTTGTTCAAGAATTTTGGCAATGTTTCCAGTAGCTTTATTTTTATCTTATACCTTAGATATCGAAGCTCAGTTTCATATTATCACTTTAACTATGGAGTAAAGTTTAAAGGGAAAAAATTCTTTGGGGTATTTAAACTACTTCATCTTATTCCTTCTGAGTTTTTAATAAATATAAAAAAAGAAAATGACATTTTCATTAAAAAAAACTTTTTTTAGTTTTAATGAAAAAGAGTTGAGTCTTTGATAGTATATTTCTTTATCTGTGACAGTTTTCATTGGTGCACTATTTGAGTACAATTTCATTTTGGCAGGTGTTACGAAGTACAATTATTTATATTTAAAATATATTGTATACAGTGGATTTGTAGAACTCAAGAAGTGATTGTTCATGATGATGAAGAAAGCATTTATGAAATCATGATGATGTACAAAGCTGAAGCATTTTTTTCTCCCATTAACTACACATTAAATTTCAAACATTATTTAATTAAATTTCATTCATTTAAAGCTTAGAATTACTTTTGTATCTTTCTCCCTCCTTAACCCTTTCTGGAACACTATTTTTAGTCTGGTAACATTTATTTCAATAATAGAACAAACCACTAAAAATGCAATACTATTTGGTTCTTAACATCAATCATTTTTTAGAAACCACTCTTCTTCAAACAACAGAGAGTATAATACAAAATTCACGATTTACAGCTACAGTTGTTAATGTGCTGGGTGTCTAAAATTTTCACTTAAAAATTACTGAATTTAGAAAGGATAAATAAGTAAATAATTAGTAATTTTATTTTGTTTCAGTAATTTTATGTTTTTAGCCGATTGTCTTTATAATTAAGGAACAAAATTGCTATCACAATTAAAGCTTTATGGATTATTTCTTTTTATTTTAACTCTTTAGTTCAATTTTTAAAAAAATAAGCAAAATTTAGATTGAAAAAGTGCTAAAAAATATCTAAAGTCATATACTAGTTACGAAAGTCATATACTAGTTTTCAAGACTTGTACTTTAAAAGAATATGTGTTAAGTCTGTAATTCAGATCTGTGTGGTTTAAATTTCGTTATTAATAAAATTTTGACATGTTGAGCATGATGATTGCGGTGTCATCTGCATTTTGGTGAAACTCGTTTGATTATTTACAAAGGATCTTCCAAAATATTTGGACAGTTATTCCACAGGATGTAATAAAACTATTGAATTATTATAAAAAGGGTGAGTTAAAAAATTATTTGGAGTGTAAAACTTTAAAGCATTCCATGCAAAGCAGAGGTTTATCAAGACATTTTAGACGAACAGTTGTTTTCTTCAAATTTTGTCTTTTATTTGAATAACATGATTTGCATAGGTGTTTAATGCATTTCCTAGGAATCATTTTTGTAATTGTCTGCATTGTCCTGACTTCAAACAGATGGTTGGATTGTATTTTCAGACAAGACATAATTTTGCAGCTATAATTTCTTTAAATCTTCCAATATTTACACTCTTCTTTTTCGCAATTTTGTAATGGACCAAAGCATTTCAAAGCATTCTCCCAGTCGAAGTTGAACACCATATGTTTGGTACCATCCAATTATCACAGGCATAAAAAACCACTTAGTTTGAACCATCTATATCCCACTTTCCCTTATATTAAAAAATGAACATATATATACCAGCAGCACACTTAATATTGTGGAGATTTTGTTGCAAATGTGTGACAGTCAGCATTTTAATATGAAACCTATAAGGAGCATTTTGGGAACCATAAAATCTGCATTTGTGATGTTGTATAACCCATTCAAACATAGTTAGGGCACAAAATTTTGACTAAGCTACAAATAATTAATTGTTTTTTTAAAAATGTAAATGATGACATTATACTTACGTAAACCACATAGGAATATATTCTATGCCTAACTCTTCTCGGCGCTTTCTTCTGTCTCTTTGTGACTGTTCTATTTGTTGTTTACTCATTTCAGCAGCAGAAATATTTCCTTCTTCAAGAAATCTACGAAATAAAATTTTTAAAAAAATTACGTTCTTTAAGAAATAATCTTATGTTAGGTAGATGAACTACTCAGACGCCCATATACAGGTACATTGAACCAGATTTGGTTGGAAAAATTTCTTATGCTCATGAATGTGAGAGAGACTCTCGCCTTCCAAAATAGAACCGAAAGTCTCCAAAATTCTAGCTGATAAAGGAGACAAACTAATCATTACTAAATTAAATTAATTGATTAGCAAATTTGCCTTAAATAATTGGATAGGTCTTTCAAACTATGAAGATTGCACTAGAATATATTAAAATCTTATAATTAGGCTATAAGTTGCTTAGGTTTAAACTTCGTTTGCAAAGTATTTTATGTTTCATAAGCACTCTTTTTTCCATCTGGCAATAGTGTAACTTAGTATAGATCTCAAATAGGATTTGTTTATTAACACTACCAACACCGTACAAATTTGTAGGTTCTTTTATGGTGTTACAGTTTCAATAACTATCAATGTAGCTTTTCATGATATTGAAATATTTTAAAAGGTATACAAGACTTAATTTAAACATAAAATATAGAAGAGAATTGTAATACAAATTTGTAGGTTCTTTTATGGTGTTACAGTTTCAATAACTATCAATGTAGCTTTTCATGATATTGAAATATTTTAAAAGGTATACAAGACTTAATTTAAACATAAAATATAGAAGAGAATTGTAATACAAAATAGAAATACCTGACCTTTGATCAGGACGAAACCTTGTATCAGTTGGAGGTAATTGTTTTTCTAGTTCTGAATCAAGTTCATTCAGTTCAATTGTAAATCGCGTAAACCCATAATATAATTCGTAGTCTTCAGGCATGGTACCTTCATAGGAAAGAGAAAAACTATAATATAGACTACTTACTAAATTGATGTTAATACATAAGTATTTATGCAAGTTGTTCCTACATAAATAGCCACCCATAATACATACATATGTATATACACTGAGTGGCCAAATTATTATGACCACCTCAAAGTTTTATGTAAATGAGTTATTGCGTCACAGCGCTGCCGCTAGAGGGCAAGATAACTATAACACGGGAATGCTGGACAAGTGAGTCATCAGTTATACTGTGTTGCTTGCTCAGATATGGGAAAGAAAAGCGATTTAACTGAATTTCAACGTGGAATGATTGTGGCTGCGAGATGTGTCGGAACGAGTATCAGCAAAACGGCTGTACTTGTGAATTGTTCTAGAGCAGCAGTTGTTAATGTGTACAAAGAATGAACAATCAAGCAAAAAACCGGGTCTCAACGTCAGACTTGTGGTCGTCACAGGGTACTGAATGCTCGATCAGAAAGAAGGCTGACCAGGGTTGTGCAGCGCAGTAGGAGAGCAACAGTGCGACAAATTGCAAGTGATCTTATTCAAGGAGCAACTGTGAACGTCTCTAAACGAACTGTTCGACGCACATTGCGCTGTATAGGGTATGGAAGCAGAGGACCTGTTCGTAAGCCTCTACTGTCTGCTTTAAATAAGCGCAGACGTCTCCAATTTGCAAATGAGCACAAACATTGGACAGTAGATGACTGGAAGAGGGTCATGTGGTCCGATGAATCATGATTTCAAATGCATCGCGCAGATGGCAGGATGAGAATATGGAGAAAACAGCACGAAAGCATGGACCCCTACTGCATTGCCACGACACTTCAAGCTGGTGGTGGCAACGTTATGGTATGGGGAATGTTCCTTTGGTATTGTATGGGTCTTTTAATTCCTGTACCACAACGCCTTAATGCCCAAGGGTATTTAAGTATCATCGCAGATCAAGTACATCCGTTTATGTCAATGGCGTACTCTGGAGGGGAAGGATACTTCCAGCAGGACAACGCTCCTTTTCATAGAGCTGGCACTGTCCTCAGATGGTTCGAAGAGCATGACGGAGAATTTAACTTGCTTCGTTGCCCAGCACAATCCCCAGATCTCACTCCAATTGAGAATTTGTGGGATGAAATTGAACGGGCGCTCAGACAGATGGATTAAGTACCATCAAATTTGCAGGAATTGGCAAGTGCAGTTCAGCGAGCATGGTCTGGCATACCTTCTACCACCTACCAGTATTTCATAGAGTCCATGCCCGGACGAATTAAGGCAGTAATATGCGCAAAAGGTGACCCAACAGCGTACTAAAGGGGTGGTCATAATAATTTGGCCTCTCAGTGTATATATACGTAAGGGTATAAAAATTTATATAAGACTAGTAAAAGTAGTTTTATTTTTTAAAAACCATAAAATTCATTCTTCAATGTTTATAATTCAGTTTAAAAACAAGTCAAAATAGCAAAAAAGTTCATAAATCAGAATCTTAATACCATAAAAGTTGTGATCGTAATTATTAAAAAAAAATATTTTTATGTATGAATAGCTTTTTTTTTTTTTTTTTTTCAAATAGAAGCTTAACTCACATTATAACCTAACTTGTTTTGAAACACAATAAATATAACAAAGGGAGAGAACAAATTATTAGGTTAGATTTTTTTTTAATAGCTGGCTTCTCTCATTAAAAACTATTCAACAAAAATATTATTTAGTAAGAGCATATCACATTGGTTTAATTCTTTCTAAATATATACCTTGCATTTTTTTAAATGTAATAACTTACTGTGAATAAAATATTATTAGTGATATTTCAGATTGTATACCTTGATTATTAAAGTTTATGTGTACAGTTATATATTTTTACTATGTATATTAAAGTCTGAGCAAACAATGAAAACTATTATTAAATTTATACAAAGAAAACAATATTCAAAATATGGCAGTGATAAGCTGAGATCAATTATGTATTGCATAGCTGTTTTAACATTTTCCTAAAAAAATGATACAAAATTGAACAAACCTGGTCTCCAGATACATTTTTGAGATCTACCAACACCACAATACAAAGCTTCAGTCCATTTTCCATAGAGATTATGAACCATTTTTCCATCTCTAGAAGTTACGCCTCCTTGAACTTCATGACGTTTACTTGACCAATAACTAGCCTAAAATTTAAAATGATGTTTTAATTGCTTACCTATCCATTCAATATTGTCAGAATGACAATAAAACACTACAGGTCTGTGAAATTCTAATTAACTATTTCATTCTAAGAATACATATAACATTAGTCTTTAGCTAACCATATTCTTAAAGTAATAAAATAGCGACGAAAAACTTATGTTTTATATTTAAATTTTGATGCAATAAACACAAAATCAAAAATCTATAATTTTAAAAATCATAAACATGTAACTTTTTCTTGCACATCAATAAGTCCTATGGAAAAAAAAAATACTACTACATTAAAAAGTAGACTACTTCAGTATATCTAACAGAATTATTTACTGAAAGTTTTTATTTACTGATTCCTAATAGAAGGAGATTTAAGCAAATCTTGAATCTTTGAAGACAAGAAGTTTAATATTTAATTATCAAATTTCTACTTACTTCTTCTTCATTAAATATTAAATTGTCTTAACCATTATATTTCAGTCAAAATTTCACATTACAATTTATTTGACAAAATACAATTTACAGTTCTTGAAAATTTGTCATGTGTTATTTTTTAATTTTGTAGCAATACTTTAAAAATTTTAGTAGCAAAATCTTAGCATGCTATGTATGTATAAGTTATTTGCTAAGAGCTTATAAAATAGACAAAAAAGTTAAAGTTATACAATCAAAAACTATGTCTCCAGAATAATAAGTTATATCTTTTAAACCTAGTTACTTAATCAAACTTTTCAATATATTTCCCAATGAATACTGATTCTCCAATAGATAATCTAATACTTCTTATACTTGGCAATTTTATCACTTAATTGTGATTTTAATGAAAATTAAACATATAACTAAATATTTTGTAATGTCTATGCAGCATTTTTAATCTAAAATTAGATTTGCTCATCTGCACAGAAATTGAATCCACTCATAAAAATGGCTTTACATGTATATAAAGTAATGAATTAAAAATTCATAAATAAAAAAAAACATGCTTAATTGGAATAAAATAATAAAAAAGCATGCTTACATAAATAAAAAAACATGCTTACATAATAAAAAACATGCTTACACAAATAGAGTACTCTGTTCAGTGAAGGAGATTAGAAATGTATACACTTAATAACTAACTAGGCATCAAATAAATTATTCTAAAATTTAAAAAAAGTAATCTAACATAATAAATTCCTTTGAATTTTATTCTTATTTGAGACAATAATCACATGTGATTAGTGAAAGGTTTTGAAAAGGCATTAATTTATCTGTTTTCTACTCTTATTCACTCAAATCTTTTATTCTAAATATTTTTAATGTTTTTTTTAAAAAAATTCCTCAAAAATTCAAGTGTCTTACTTTTAAAAATGTTAGTTTACAAGTTGCATCTCCATTTTCTTCAGTAATAACCATTTCACCATACTGATCAGCCCACCGTTGTCCACTAAACAAGTTGTGCACACATGTTGTAACTTTGTTCCACTGATAATGATCATTCGTTCTATAAAATTGCAATTTAATTAAGATATAACAGAAAACTTTCTAAAACTATGAAAATAACTAACTTCAATAATATAATAATATTTGAAAATTATTATAACCAATGCAAAATTAAACAGTTGAAGGTACACCAAAAAGCAGATTATACAATAAAGAAGCATCAGCTATTAAATAGTGCAGAAGAAATTAGAAAAGAATTACTTACTTTGGTAAGTAGACATGAATTGTTCCTTGTGGTAAAATTTCCATGGATTTTCCCCAAAACTTAGTTTTAATTCTCATATCTAAAATATAATTAAAAACATATTTTTGTTAAAAAACTTGGGAAAACTTATAAAAATACCAATATTTTACCCAGATATTTCTATTTGGTTCATATTAAACATTTTCTACATTTTAAACTTACTCTCAAAATAGGAGATACAACTTTAAAATTTCAGTTTTATAGCATTCCATTTTTGTACACCTCATTCTCTAATTATGTGATAAAAATACTTACTATTTTATTTATTTTTTTAAAAAAGGGTGGTTAAAATTTGGAAATAACCTGTTTTATAACTTGTTATTTTTAAATTCTAAAACTTTTCTGCAAAACTGTAAAAAAAAAACACTTATAGTACATTACTTTCAAAAAAGTGAAAGTATAATTTTCATTTAGAAATAGAGATTTCATTTGAGTTATTAGATTACTAGGAAATGCATATTTTGGACACAGAAACAATATCAATTTTATACCTAACAAGATACATATATTAAAGATAATTTTAGTTTCTAAACTCTTTTGGTGTATTATGTGGAAAACTAGTTTGATAGTTTAGAAACTCTCTTCTGAGTCATGAGCATCTATGTTAAACCACACACAAATTTCTTCATAGAAAAACAGAAACTTGTTATATATTGTAGAACTTTTTTGATGTCTGCATTTTTTTTTCTAGCTAAGACAACTATTCCAATATTTCTATCCTTGATTGGTTGATCAGCCATTTTCATGGTTTTCTTATGGTACTAAGCAAATATTACTTTGCATAACATTTACAAAATGAAGTACATTAACTTCATGAGATGATGAGCAAACAAAAGTACTACAATTGAAAATGTGCTTAAAACTGTTTTTCACATTTCTTTTCACTAGAGCATTTTAATAACACATCTAACTTCAGCTTTGGCGATGATATTTATTATATTTAAAAGCACCTTCTTTACACAAGCACAAATTTTTTGTGCAAAATAGTTGATATTATCAGTTTGGTTCTTGTAGTCATTCACTCACCTCTAAATCACTTAATGTATGGTAAAAAGCACAGTAACAAAGTAAATTTTATTTTATGAGTACAAACTCAAAAGAAACAGCCAATTTGTGGCATATTGCTCAATTTCACACTGCAACTTGGTGGTATATTACTCAAATAATTCAGAGGACCAACAATCTTCACATTACCCAACCAGGGCCAAGTACCTAGCACCATTTTCCAAGGCTCTATCTTTTAACGTCCTTGGTAGGAATGCCTCATAATTTTGGCATTGGTCAGATGACGTGGACAGCACCTGAGCTGGTGTTCTTCTCCCCAAACTTCCACACCGCAACCAACAGGAGAGCTTTCAGTCACGACAGGTTAGCATACACCTTCCTCATTTGTTGCGTCAGCTTCCATGATCGAATTCACATCCCTCAGCTCTTTACCAGTGGTGTACACATGATCTTCAGAATACACATGATTTTCAGAATTCTTTTCAAACTGAATAAAGATTTCACTGCTCAAAACATTTTATTTTATATCAAGTATATTCTATTATTAGATTATTTATCAGCCTCAAGACCATTTACAGCTTGAACAGAACCTGATAATGAGCAGTCTTCAATAATATGTTGACAAAATAAAAGAAATTACTTACCTTGCAAAAATATGAAGTTCTTTGATTCTGCATGGCAGACTGAGACTGGAGGATGGTGGCTGACCTAAGAAATTATAAATTATTAATCATATAACAGTCTCAATATATAGAAGGTTAGCCTGAATGATTCATGGGTGGAGCTGCAGTGGCTTAGGGGATAAAGCATTTGCCACCCAATGAGGTGACCCAGGTTCAAATCCCAGCAATAGCGGGTTAATACGAATTCTGCTCCTGACTTGTACAGACCATAGTGCTGAAATAAAATATCATCAGTGGTAGACAGATTATGGTTTAGAATCCATTTTTCATTGGGATAACAGTGGAAGATTTTCAAAGGAGGGTTAGTTTAATCAAAAAGTCCTCGAAGAAGGTTAGTTTGTCTCAAAGCTTGATACAGGTGTTCACTTGTCTTCTGGGCTGTGTTCAAAATTACAAGGCTACAGAGTTGAACATTGATAGTTGTAAACTCAGAATTAGGTCTGCTGTTCAATGCCGGTTATGAAATAAAATATAAAATGATGCATGAGGTTTTAAAACACTATGTATTTATTCAGTCTTTCGAAATATGATGAATCATTTAAGCTAACCGTGCATCAAAAAGATATTGTCTGTGAGTAAAGATTTTTCAAGTTCAAGAAACTATAAAATAGTTGTTAAAGTAATGATATAAAAGCAAATAACATACATTTTCTGACTATAAGATGAGTACATATGTTTAAAGAAAATATAGAATGTCGAAATAAACACAAACGCAAAACTATATACATAGTAAAACCCAATATAAATAAAAAAATTGGTGCAGATAATAGTTTTATCCCAGAATATACTAATAGTTCTTTCCAGTAGCTGATTCGTAAGCAAGATAAAAAAATAGTTTTTAAGTAACATATTTTATTTCAAAAATTTTTTTATTTAGATAACTTGTCACATTTATAGACGTGCTAAAAAAATTGATTAATTATTGAAACAAAAATGCTTAACGTGGGTTTCTGCTTCAGACAAAGTGAAACAGTTTCCCTATTACATTATTTTGGAAAATAATAATTGCATTATTTAATATAAACATAAAAACAAACTTCTCTCATTTAATATGAAGTTAAAAATTGAACTTAATGAAAATAAATTCCTCATTGTGATCTTTGAAGTGAACTTTCTCATTCAAATAAGTTTAAAACTTTTTCTGAACTTAATAAAAGAGTATAGTGGAACTGCGATGAGGGGTCACAGTTATTTCCAAACATTCTGAAATTGCTGATGTCACCAACTGTACATATGAGGGAGCATTCACCTATGATGACAAGGTGAGTAGTGCCAACTTAGGAAAGGAAAAAGAATTGCGTTCTTTCCCTATTGGTAGTGAATATCTTTTGTCATTAGACTTAGACTTAGAGGTTGGGCAGCTCTGACGAGCAGGGCACATCGACCAGAGGTCTATTGTACCCAAACCCTAAAATCATGATTAGCATGAAAGCCCTATGGCTGAAATAAAATTCAGCAAGCACCTTACAGGAACATCTTGCAGTTCCCAGGCATTGACAATATGCTGTCCTAAATGCTCAAATCTTTGAGCAGAATAGACCTCACAATCACAGAGTATGTGTCGTGATGTCTCTTCTTCTAGATGACATCCCCGACAAAGAGAATTTGATTCAATTCCCATAATGTTTAGGTGTCTTCTGAGGATACAGTGACCAGTAAGAAGACCAATGATCTTCCTTATACTGTTTCTGTTAAGCTTTAAGAGCTCCTTTTGACGTACACTAGGACAGTCTCGATTCAGCTCCTTAGCTTGTCTTTGACCGTCAGCAGCGCGCCACTGCTCATGGGCGATCTTGCCGTAGAGCTTGAATATGGTTGCCCTAAATGAGGAGGGAGAAATTCCCAGCGCAGGTTCAGGGCCCCAGAAAATTGCATTAGAGCCAGCCCGTGCTGCTTCGTCAGCTAGCTCATTTCCACCGATACCCATATGTCCTGGTACCCAATGCAGGGATACCTTGTTATGAGTGGACAGGTCACAGAGGACCGAGAAGCATTCCCACACTAACAAAGAGGTGAATTTACACCTTGACAGTGATAGGAGAGCAGCCTGACTGTCAGAACAGATGCGGATAGTCGTATTTTGATATCCTTTGTCTATGCATAACTTGCAGCACAAGATAATGGCATAGACCTCAGCCTGAAAAACGGTGGCATAATTTCCCAGGGGAAAGTGAAGTTTGGTACCATCATTGGAGCAGTAAATTCCTGCTCCTGATTTGGCACCAATCTTTGACCCATCAGTGTACCATATCAGGCATTTGCCTTTAAGCCACCGAGGAGAATTGAACCATTCATCTCTAGTAGGAAAATGGATCTTGAAGGGCTTGTGAAAAGCATATCTTAGTGACATAAAATCACTAGGCATAATAAAAGAGGATAAATCCTTCACTTGTGAAACAAGATGTCCCCATGACAAGTGTTTGGAATTCTCTTTCCATAGGCCAAGGTACATAAGACGCTTTACGCCTGTCTGAGCTTCAACTTCAATGCGTAAGTTCAATGGAAGAAGCCCAAGTAAGCTCTCTAGAGCAGCTGTAGGAGTGGTCCTGAGACAGCCTGACAGGGCTACACAGACCATTCTTTGTAGTCTGTTAAGATTAGACCTTGCGGAGCTCAATCTAGTCCTTGACCACCAGACGATTGCGCCATAAGTGATGATAGGACTAATAATCATTGAGTATATCCAGTAGACTATTTTGGGGGACAATCCCCATGTTCTACCAATAGCATTTCTACAAGACCAGAAAATTTTTCTGGCCCTGTTGGTGCAGTATTCAAGTTGAAGACCCCAATTTAGTTTGGAGTCAAAATAAACCCCGAGAAACTTGACTTTCTCTGTGAGTTCCAATTTATGGTCCAGGTAGTATACATTACCTAGATCAAGTTGCCTTTTCCGTGTAAAGGCTACATAACTTATCTTGGATGGATTGACAGATAAGCCTGATTTAAAACACCACCTAGCTACTTCTAGGAGTGCATTATTCATGATATCAGAGACAGTTTTTCCATGTTTGCCTCTGACAACAATAACACCGTCATCAGCGTACCCGATACAGGGAATGCCAAGAACAGTTAACCGAACTAACAGGGAGTCCATTACCATACACCATAGGATAGGGGACAAAACCCCTCCCTGGGGGCATCCGGCAGTTGCATGCACTTTCATGCTTGCACCCAATAGAGAGTAACAAACATACCTAGAGGAAAGCAAATTCGCTATCTATCTGGTAATTATTGAGTTTATGCCTCTGTTCCTAAGTGCATTGATGATAGTCTCAACAGGGACTTTATCAAACGCACCTTCAATATCAATGAAAACCGCGAGAGCCATCTCCTTATCTGTGATAGATTTCTCAAGCAGGTAGGAGAGCTCATACAGAGCGGTGTCTGTAGACTTGCCTGGTTGATAGGCATGCTGTGTGGAGGACAGTGGCCTTTCTATGAGCACAGTGTCTCTGAGGTGTCTGTCAATTAGCTTTTCTATCGCTTTCAACAGACAGGAAGTGAGGCTGATTGGTCTGAATGATTTAGCCTCAAAATAATTCTCCTTACCTGGTTTTGGTATGAAAATCACCCTGTTATTCCTCCAATAGAGAGGTATATACCCAAATGCTATGCAGGATCGAAAAATCCTACTTCTATCTTTTGTCATACATACATTTTAAATTGTCATACTTTGATGAGCAGTTTCATTTGGTGGTTTGTATTTCAGTAAGAAAATGCCAATAATGCTTCAGACAATGTGGGAAAAGTAGATTATTTTATAAACAGATTATTGTAAAACACAAAATTTCAAGCTAAAGTTAATAAAAGATTTTTTTTAAGTCTAACGTAAAATGATATATTTTTAAGTTTTATTTTTTAATTATTTTCTTGCAGATATCAATTAAATTCTTTGATATCTTTGCTTTAGTGTTTTGTTTCTAAAATCCACATCAATGCTTTTTGCTGTTTAATAGGTAAAAACAAATTTGGCTTACTATGAAAAGATTTTTCCTAGCTACTCTTTCACAACATCTTAATAAGGTTAGACTGTGCTAGTGAAAAACAATTTTACTTGTTTTACTTTATTAAACATTTTTAGTAAAGATGCCTGAAGAACTAATACAATACTCAAACTGAAGTTGATAATTGAAAAGGAAAAACCCAATTGATTTAACTGAAGAAAAATATTTTTTATTTGTTTTCAAGGTTTAATAAAAAAGAAAGATATTTGTAATTCCAAAATTAGCTGCAATGTTCTAGAAAAAATAAAATTAAGAACTTTTTTCAAAAATTTATCTTTTTATTAAATTAAACAAATTTCAATGTTGTTGATGCCTTAAAAATATTGAATAATATTTTCATTGACATATATTTTTAATGCAAATATTAAAATAAAAAAAGCACATCAACCAGCCATAGTCAAGCACCAAGCCTTGTTTTTCAGGGCTCTACATTTAATGGTCATGGATTAAATGCCACATACTTTCGACCCTGGTCAGACATTATGGCCAGCACCTAGGATGGTATTCCTTTTTCAAAACTTCTACAACACAACTAACAAGAGGACTTAAAGCAAAATTGTATAGACTTAGAGCATACACTCAGAGCATAGCAAGGTACAATTGTTGTAATTGTACCACATTATTCATTAATTTCCTTTTAATAACAAGAAAAGCAAGATATTTAAACAGGGAAGCCATTGGCTTAAAATTAAGAAAAAATGGCACTATTTCTGAAAGAATTATGTTAGTTTTACATATTTACCTGTTCTGCAATGAACTGAAAGCCTTTGTCTTCTCTTATACATTCAAATGTTTCTCCTAAAACAGGATTGAAAGGCTTATGACCAGCTCTATGGTAAGATGAACTGTAAGCTGATACAGCAAATGCAGCTATATATACCTAAAGAAAGTAGAATAATAAGAAAATAGAAAAAAGTGAGAAAATAATTTTAAAAAAAATCAGATAAAAAATTGATTTTAGATGCTAAGAATTTTTTTTAATAAAACACTTAGTTTTTAGGGAATTAAAATTGGGTTTCTAAACACCTATGAAATACTAGAAAAATGGAACATTTTAAATTTTAACCAAGAACAAGAGTAAAAAACAATATATTTCAAAAATTATTATTACCATACGCTCATACTTGTCAGCAGTTTCTGCTGCTTTGTCCAAAAGTTCACAATATTCAAGTTCTTCACAAAGTCGCTAAATATGAAAAAATTGTTCACTACATCTATTTTGTCAAAATAGTCTTGAAATTAAAAATAATTAGAGTAGAGAGAAATATTTTGCATCAAATCTGGATTAGCATAAATAATAGAAATACTGTTCATTATTGTTTAAATAATACAGTCTCCTTTACCTCTTAAAGTTTTCTTACAAGTTATTTTAGAACTAAGAATAAAAGAAATTAAAATTTTAACTCAAAAGTGAAAACATTGGAACAAAGCAAGTAATTTAATTAGTCCATTACTTCCAACATGACTGATAATGTTTTCAAGAACACAAATGAAATATTTTACTATAACTATTTCTTAAAAAATATAGTTTTAATTCAGACATGAATAATGTAAAATTAAAGGAAATTATAAAGATATCCTTCTTTCTCCTGTTTACATTTGTAAGTTGAGCTAATTCATAATTATAAAGTCAATATTTTGTAAGAGTCAACTTAGGATTTTTCATTTCTGACAAATCTTAAGGCAATTAGACAGCAAGAAAAACAAGTTTGTTACCAATTTTTCCAATAAAATTTATTACAAAATTATATGGTTCTCTACATTATACAAAAAAATTATTGTAGTTATTATTAACTCAATTAGAAATAAAATAATAAAGAAAAATTATAGATTTTTTAAAAACCATCCAATACAGTTTTTACCTGCAATACACTGAGTGGCTCATTTAAAGTGACAGGCATGCTAACTTTACTCAAATCTTTTCCAATATTCTTAAAAAGAAGATTGCAGAGACTAAAATCTCCCATGTCTGGTTTAGGAGCTGGAAGTTTTGACCGCCGTCCTGTACCACAGGTCGGGGTTGGAGGCACTTCAGTCACTGTCATGAAAAAAAAAGCTAATAGAAAACTAGATACTTCACACATTTATAAAAACCAAACCTTTATTAATTGAACTTTTATTTCAAAAAGAAAGCAATAAACCTATATACTACGGCAGTTATTTAAGACACACTTTTTTTTCAAGCAAATAACTTCCAATTTGAAAAGATAAGTTATTAGTTGCAAATTGATTTTCCCAAATTATGGAAATGACACAGAACATTTAAACAGACAAAGGCATAAAATATTCATTCCGATACGGAAAATAATAAACTGTGGAAAAAAATATTTTCATTAAATACTTTTCATTTATGTCAATAAAAATAGCCTCACAGGCAATTTAAAAAACAAGGTGTCAAAGACTTTAAAAATATTTAAGAGCTCTTAAATCAAGGTTTTTGAATTCATCTAACAAATAATTATTAGTGCAGCACTTTGCAAAAAAAAATCTATGCTTGAAAATTAACTCTTGAAATGCAAGAAAATACCAAGTACATTGAGGAAAAAATAAGAAGAGCAATTAATTTGGAGTCTAGTATATTGAATGCTTGTATGACCTAAAAATAACCAAGTCACACAAACATGCTTTACCATTGACCTGAACTGTACCTTGTTTTAAAAGCATTCATCAATAACAATATTCCTGCTACTGTGACAAAACAAGCAATTGTAAAAAATTTTACACCCGAAAGAATGAGAAGGTTTTCATTAAACAATGTTGAATGAGGTTGCAAGCAAGGAAAAATACACAGTTCTCTAATGATGGTCATCTGCTTAAAATTATCCAAAAAATCTCAGCTGAAAACCAAATGTTTGACACGTCTCTTTACAATGGCTTGGGAATTAAAAAAATTTTGAGAAAATTTTGATTATTATGTTATAAAGTACCATAACTAAAATAGTACTAATGAGAAAAAAAATAGATAAAAGCATAAATACCACTAGGTATAGGAGTATATTCAGTTCCTTCATCTGATACATCACTCAAAAAGCTACCACCCTCTTCTGATAAAGAGCCCTAAAACCAAAATATAAGACAATAAATGCTGTAGGATATACTTGCAGAAAGAAAAATATTAAAAAATACATAATATTGTTTTAAGGCACATTTTTGACTGAATAACCCTTTTTGATAATCAAGTATATGTTGAATTCAATTGCGAAATTTGAAAACTTTCAGGATTTAAACAGTATGTCTGAATTTTTAACTAGGTAACTAAAATAACAATAAAATAACCATATAACTGCAATACAGGAAGCAAACAAATAACTGTCCTATAAGAAAGCTTATAATGGACTGCACTAAAAATTACTTAAAAAATATAAGACAAATAATAAAATTATTGATTGCGAAAGTTTATTGCCTATAGTAAAACTATGTAAATAAACTCAAAAATTTTTAAAGTTGGAAACAATAGTATTTCATCAGTCTCAGGCAAAACTTTTGATAATACTCATTAATATTTTTTTAAAAAAAGGGTAGCATATTTTGAGCAGATTGAGCATTCAAAAAATAAAATAATAATTGCAAACAATTAAATTAAACCTTTAATTGTATCATTTTTCACAGAAAACAGCAATAGTACAAAACATATTTTTACAAAATTATAACAACTATGACTCATTTTGTTAAAAATGTGAATGATCGTTAAAATTTAATCTCATTTTTAACTATTTAAAATGGAATGATATGAGAAACTCAAGAAGTTATAAGTAACCAAGGGACTATTCAAAATTTCTAGGAGCAAAGACCAAATTTTAGGAGCCAGCAGCCTGAAAACATTCCTGCTTTCTAGTTTCAAAAAAAAAAAACTAGTCAAAATTTTACTAAAATAATGGGCATTAGCTACAACTTTTTAAATGAGTGGTCACCTGACAAATGTCGTTTATAGACGCTGATTTTATCCCGTATTTAAATTCAGTAATCTCCATTTAATGCGAACACTTTGGGACACAATGAATTTGATAACATTAATAGACAGATAACAAAAAACAAATCACAAAATTACATAAATTTACTTGAGATACACATACTGAGTTTAAAAATAAAGAGAAAAACTCACTTTATATTTTTGCACAGTAATTTTTCTTTAACATATGAAATTTATTCATAAATTTAAAAAAAAATTATCAATGGTTGATTGTCTAAAATTTTTTCTCAGATGCTCATTTACAGATCATTTGTAATCATAATGCTTTATCAAGTCATAGGCATGGTATTGTACTCAATGTTACAACGTTTTCATTGCATGCCTTATTTCAGCATTTGTAGGAGGTGGTTGAATATCAAACCATTCTTCATCTGACTCGTCAGTTCCACAATCCATCTTTTTTTTCTATAACTATCTGGCTATCTATAACTATTCTGATTCTATTAATGTGGAAACAACAAGAATGTTTTCATCAATTTTCATTCAAAACTGGAACTCTTAATTTCTTTCAGTTTCCTGGACAGCTTTTTTGCAAAATCTTGTGTAGGAGAAACTGTTTCTGAGTCGAAACTTGATCATATGAGGTTGCTAAAAGGTGCACCACATCAAAAACTTTAGTTTTCTTGGCCAAGGGATTTATAATATCAGTCTTTTACTTCATTGTTAAACCAGTTCACTTTTTGTCATGCAAATACAACTCTAAATAAGTGAACTCTAAATAAGCGAACAGGGCATAAAACTACGACCCACTCGTTCTTGGTTTATATAAAAACCCACTTTTCTGAGAGAGGAAAAATTCATGTTTCATTAACTATCAATCAACAGACCCCTGTCCATTTGCAGTTGAAAAAAGAGTGAAAGAATTTAAATTCTAGAGTAAAAGAAGAATAAATAAAATAATAAAAATAAAAATGCTAATAACATTAAACAATGTAATGATCAGAGATTAAAATAAAAATTAATACAAAAACAACTAGACTGGGTGATTTTGATAACAATAAGCAATTGGTAACATAAATTGCAATCACATCAAGCGAAGACTGCAATATAGGTAATTTAAAGGAATGAAAAATAGATAATTACCTCAGAAGATGTGCTACAGTTAGAGAAGTTTTCAGCAGCATCAAAAAATTCAGAAGCAGACAGGACAGATGAGCTTTCGTGAGACAGGGAAGGCTGTAGAGGTTGATGAATGAGCTGTAAAAGGGTGATCACACAACACAAAATTCAAATACTTATGTTCTACTTTTAATATAGTGAAAGAGTTAAAGGTTTGTTCTCTATTTGATGTCTTGCAAGTACAAATCACCTAGGATTTATTGCTGTTTGACAGTGTAACGTTCAGGTTCAAAATGGAAGAAAGTGTTTCTGTTTCTCTTTAATCTAGTATAAAACTGTATTAACTTTTTCCTACAATGTATCTGGATATTAAATTTTCAAACTATTTCAAATTGATATTTGTAGGAACACTTTTGATAGAGTTACTCCCCACTATCCAAGGAAATGTTTTAAACATAATTTAATAGTTCTTCTTGCAAAATAATTTAAGAAAAAAATAAGAAAATTTAAAATGAATTAATAGTAACTATTTAATATGTATTAAATGCATCATAAATGAGAAAGATCAGAACACCAAACGTTACTTCCTTATCTTTATTTCCTGCATTCTGCACACGTAAATCTCATTCAAAAGACTGTTACATAGTATAATTAAGATATGTATACACAACTTTTAAAACTGAATTTTTAAAGATTGCTAGCAACCAATTATTGATATAAATTTCTTTGCATTAAATTTTCTAATATTTTCTCATTTTATCGTATTGTTTTTATAAGAATAATTAAAATTCTTATTTATGTACTTAGAATCACTTTTGTATATAAAATACTTCAGTTTTTAAATTGATTTTAAAACATTTTTTTGCTTACTATAGGGGATATGATGTGTGTAACACCATTCTAAATTTTATAAAATCGTTTCAAATCTAGTTTCTGTAAGATATGCTAGACAACAATTAATTTCGATATTTAAGTCTCAACTTTGTTAAAAATCATTTCAAAGCAAAAGAATATATCTTTCACAAGAAATAATGCCTTTCATTGGGGTATAAAAATAAATACATTTCCAATTCAAAGTTTCCCAAGTCAATCCCTACAGGCAAATAAATGAGTTGGAGGTTTAATCATCTATCTGTTTAATTCCTTATGTATGAGATCTATAAAGCCTTTTTATAAAGTATTGTGTATCTATTTAAATATCTAGTTATTCTGATTGAAGAAATATTCAGTAGACTGAAAAGTTTGATATTTAGCAAGAAAAGCCAAATGCTGGAAGATTAAGAAATGTTCAGTCCACTTCTACTTTAAACAAAAGATACAAAACTTACTTTATAAAGCAAACTTTTTAATATTTTGAAGTTAATTATTGTTATATTACTGACTGAAGACTTTATTGATAATTATGGTAGAATAATTTAAAATAATTACAATAATCTAATTTAATCACATCATTTGAACTAAAAAATTTTAAAAAAATATATCAGAACTTTATGCAAATACCAAAAAAATGAATTAATTAATAATGTATCCAATACTTACTGTTGGTTCATCATTATCTCCAGCAGGTGTACCTGCTGGAGGAACAATATTGCTTACGTCAGTAATATTATGAATTTCTAACAGCTTTGCTTTAAGATCTTTGTTTTGTTGAATAGTCTGAAACAAAGAATTCCTCTATGAATCAAAAATAAACAGGGGAAAAAATTACGTGTAATGTGTAAATGTACTTAATCATGCATAAAAGCTTACACTTATTTAAAGAAAATTACCATTAAATAATTAAACTGAATTTAAGTAGTGAGGGGATTTCAAATCTGAAATTAGTTTTACTCCTAAAGATACAGACTTTTTTGTCAAAATGCACAAATTTAAAATTTTTTTGTCAAGTATTAAACCATGTTCTTCATAATCTAAAACAGATTGAAATAAAAGTTTAAAGTTATAAAGACAACACTGGAAAACAATTTTTTGTTGCATTTATACAAATACTTGATCTTGTCTAATTGGAAGGGGGGATTTCAAATATGAAATTAGTTTTGCTCCTAAAGCTACAGACTGCTTTTAAATGAGATTTTCTGTCTATTTTGTGCTGAAATATGAAAGTTTAAAAATTTTATATTTAACAGTGGGTTGCATAAATGTTACAAACTTCTAGGGGTGTTGAGGCATAAGAACCCATGCCCAGAAATGATGTTATACATGGCTAGGGGTGATTCCCTATTATGACATGGTCAGAAGCACAAGAATAAACAGTTAAAGAATAAGGAAGCATCCCTAGCATCATATGACGACATTTCTGGGCAATGGTTCCTATGCAATTTTAATCCTGATGATGAGCCTAACTCCCCTAGAAGTTTGTCTCAACATTTATGCTGTCTCCTGATGTATATCACATTTCAAACTTGTACATTTTAACTAAAAATGACATTTTTTTAAATAAAAACTATAGCATAGAGAACCGACTGTAGATTTAAAATCAGCATCTAAGGTCTATTAAAAATATCAAGCAACAGAAAACAAAAAAAATTTCTTCAGTGCAGTTTATGGACACCTTATAAATTAGTCCTCAAAATTTTATTTAAAAAAAATAATATTGCTTTTACGACAATTACTTTAATGATGTTGAAAGAAATTATATTTTAGAACAGCTTGGACAGAGATAATAATGAAGTTAATAATGTCAGGTTTATTACATGAGTGATCAAGCTCTAAATTTGCTCTTCTAAGCCACCATTTTTTTTTAATTCCTCCAAAAATACTTCTCAACACCTTTCTCTCAAAGGTACCCAACATAACCTCATCCGTACAGGATATGGTCCAGGTTTCACAAGCATATGTTAAAATTGATCTTAAAAAAGATTTATATAATAAAACTTATGCTTTTCTATGAAGAGCATTAGATTTTATGTATTTTCAAATTCCATTAAAACAGCTATTGGCTATAGTGATTCTCTTTTGCATTTCCATTGTAATATTGTTCCTGTTGTTGATTACAGAACCGAAGTAAATTAAATTGTCAACAACCTCAAATTCATATTCTTCAATTTCTGAGTGGGTGTTATTGAAGCTTGTTTTAGTACAAGGCAAATATTTAGTTTTGTTCTCATTTATTCTTTGGCCCACCTTGAGAGCCACTTTCTCCAAAGAAATAGAAGCCTGTCTCAGTGCTATAGCTGTTCTAGCAATAATGTCTATGTCATCAGCAAAGGCCAACAGTTGTACAGATTTATTAAAAATATTTCCCCTGGTGTTAATGTCGGAATCTCTAATTACTTTCTCTAAATTGGAGAGTCCCTGTCACATCCATTATTTATTACCATTGGGCTTAACAGATTACTCTGTATTTAAACTGTAATTTTGGTTTCATTTAGTGTCAAACAAATCAACCTGAATAACTTTCTAGGCACTTTAAACCCGTTCAAGGCTGCAAGGAGGGCTTTTCCATTGATGCTATCATAGGCAGTCTTAAAATCAATGAAAAGATGGTGTGTATCTATTCCAAATTCTTTAGTTTTCTCTAGAATCTGTCAAATGTTAATTATTTGCTCAGTGGTTGATCTCCCTTTCCTAAATCCACCTAGATAGTTTACAACCAGTTTTTCCACAAATAGAGAGAGTCTAAATACTTTATAGCTTGTACAAAGTAAGCTAAAACCTCTACAGATAGAGCATTCAAGAAGATCACCTTTCTTGTGTATTACACAAGCTACACTCATTTTCCCTTCCTCAGGGATTATTTCCTGATCCCAAATTGCTTTTATTAATTATGTATGTACTTTGTCAATTCAATTCCACCATTTTTCAGCTATTCGGATGGAATAGCATCAGGACCAAGTGCTTTATTATCTTTAAGTTTGTAAATATCTTCAGCTACCTCTTCCAATGATGGTGGTTCAGTCACATCTTGGCTGAAAGTTTTTATGTTTTCTGTACGTATCTCACATCCATCATTGTCTCTGTTCAGTAGACAATCAAAATGCTCATTTCATCTCTTCAACACCTCTGTTCTATCATTCAATATTACTCCTTCCTTATTATGACATGAGGTAATTCTTGGTTTGAATTCTTTACACCCAAGGTTGATTTCCTGAAAGAAAGCTCTGCTTTCATTAGTATCTCTTAAATGTTCAACATTTTTAAAGAGATTCTCAAAAAATTTCTTCTTTTTTGTTTTTTGAATTCCTTTTTCATCTCCTCTTGCATCCTTGTACACCTTGTTGCACTGAATTTCTTAAATGTCTGTTGTGCAGCATTTTGCCATATGCCTCATTTTTTTTTTTTTTTTTTTTTTTTGCAGCCGTGAAACAATCATTATCAAACCAGTCCTTCCTTTTTGCTTTCTTAACCTTTTCCACAACTTGGATACAAACTTCAATGATTATTTTTTTCAATGTATTCCATTTATCATTTATACTCTCTTCATCAATATCATCATTAATTTCTTTCAATTTCATATATTTCATTCATATTTTTCCAGACATTCACCGTGAGTTTTGTGGGAGTTTGAAATTCTTGCTCTAACCTCTGCCATGACCAGAAAATGGTCAGAATCCAGGTTAGCACCACGATAAGCTCTTACATCCAGTATATCTGTCTTATGTAATGAATCAATTAAGAAATGATCAATTTGATTGTAAGTGCCTCCAACAGAAGAACTCCAAGTCATTTTATGAATGTTTTATGCTGAAGCATTGTGCTTGGTATAACCATATTATTACTTGCAGCAAAATCAGTAGGTCGCCTACCATTGTTATTTGATATGTCATGAAGGCAATACTTACCGATAATTGGTTTAAATTCTTTTTCCTCACCAATTTTTGCATTTGCATTGCCCAGTATAATTTTGACATCATTTTTCAGGCAAAATGCATAGAGTGCCTGTAGTTCCTTGTAGAAGAGCTCCTTTTCCAAACTATCTTTGTCCTCCATTGGAGCATAAAAGTGTTAATTAAACTATAATTAAAGAAGGTTCCTTTTATCCTAATTTTACACAGTCTACATGACATTGTTACAAAGTCAATTCGAAAAAGTCTTACTCGCTTACTCAGTATAATGCCAGTTTCAAATATGTGCTTGTTTTTATCACAGTTATAGACAATCATGTGGTTTTTCTTTTCAATTACTCCCTCTCCTATCCATCTAATCTTTTGAATATGTATAGCTAGAATATTGATTCTATAATCATTAATCTGCTCAATTAGCATTTGCCATAAAAAGAATGAATGTTTCATGATTCAATTCTCAAGTCCTTAAAGTCTTTACTAAATTGTCTCCTTATAGTCAGAAAATCCTTGTGTAAAAATGACATTTTTTTAATAAAAATTGTAGCTGGGAGAACCTATTGTAGATTTAAAAATCAGTGGGACGAAAGTATCTCAGTTCTGAAAAGAATCTCAAGCAATGGAAGACAAAAAAAAAATTTCCAGTGCAATTTATGGACATCTTATAAATTAATCCTCAAAATTTAATTTAAAAAAATTATATTGGTTTCTCGAGAATTACCTAACTGATGTTGAAATAAATAATATTTTTGAGCAGCTTGGACAGAGATGCGAATTGCTTTATATGACAGTTGAAGAAAAAAATGAACAGAAAAATAATTACTTGGTTTAGGGTATTTCTTAAACTAGCAATAAGAGCACCACTACTGCTGCTACATGTTACACTCTCAGCTTCTAAAACCTGTTTTAATCTCTCCCTTTCTGTTTGTAAACTACGAACAACAGACCTGAGACCACTATGAACTAAAAAGAGGAAATATATAAACAGTTAAAGCCAGGCTATGATCTAATAGACAAAACTATACTTAAGTTGTTGAAATGACGCCTCTGCAGCAAAACATATATTTTTAATAAATAGTTCTAATTGTTAATATTTTTAGTGTCAAATTTTATTTTTCTGAATATCTGAGAAATTATAAAAGCATCACTGAAATTGAAAAAGAAACTAAATTGAAAGGGTACAGAAAGTATTTTTAAGTCCCAAAGAGGGCATCTGTTAGCACCAGTTACTGTGGTTTTACCCTAATCGAGACAGTATTTACTAATATTATACTAGTATTTCCATGAAATTTTCAAATTTTAGTAATTATTTCAAATTTAGTAAAACTTACAACAAAATAAAAACAGTCACTAATAATAGTTTTAAAGTTCCATTGTGTATCTCACACAATCAGCATTAAAAGAATTCATTAAAAAAAAGTAAAAAATTTTAATCAATAATTAAGAAATGCCTAATTTTAAAAAAGATTTAACAAATTTATGTTATTTTAACATCAAAATGTGTAATGCAACACTTAACTTTTCCCTCGTCATAAACCATGCTTAACTTTTTTCCGTCGTCATAAACCTCTACCATTGAGGACAACTCCTAACAACTTAGATAGCATGCCAGAAAATCCATTATATATTCAATTTTTTAAATGAGTTTAATGCACAATTCTTCCAGTACTGGAACAGATAGCTGTCAATCAAAAAAGTCACAAAGATTAAGATTTAACAATTTCCAGACTAATAACATGAGCTCAGCATTCTGCACCAAGCCCTATTTATTTCCAGTGTAGCTGGTACCGATCAATCTAAAGCTCCCAGTTTCTAAGCTACTAAATGCACTATTATTATACAATATAGTGTATTAAGACAGAATGCAGAACCGAGTATAATAATAATAATACATTTAATTTCAATAAGAGTCCCATAATTTTAAAAAATGGCAGTCTTGAAAACCAGAATTATTGAATAATCTGAGGCTATGGCTTTATTCATCAAATATCTGTTCTTTTCTTTTTTTTTTTTTTTTTGAAAAAGAAACAAGTTGAAAACAAAATAAATAAGGTACAATGCAAATAGATGAGGTAAATTAACATTAATTGGTCATAGAATAGACATTTTTTCTTTATTCTTCTAGATTGCAGGTATAAAAATTGCTAAATACTGCCTCTTTTAACTTAAAACTTTTATCCTAAAACTGCTTTCTAATTATTTTCAGAACATTTTATAGTAAAATTTAGGAGAAAATGTTAACTAAATGGAAGTTTAACAAAAGCTTTTAATGCCATGTTTTTATGAATTTATTGAAAAAAAGAGTACTTAAATTAATCATATTGAAATAAAATAAAATAATTATTTTTAATACAAAAAGTTTGTTTCTGAGAGAAACAACTTTGTTTCTGAGGGAACTTTAGTTGAATTATTAGAAAATTTATGTGAAAAGAAATGAAGATCAAGGGGGAGGAATGGTTTATGGCCATTTTTCATGAAAATGACAATTTGATTGCCCTGTGTTGCTTTAAGGGGATTATTAAGCTTGGACACATCAATAATGTGGAAAATTGATTATTTCCAAGAGTAAAGATGCACAGATGCTATGGAAAAAGACGCTATGAAAAAAAACAGTTACTGCCGGTGAACTTCCATCATATTTTCTCAGAATGAGCATTCATGAACATAAACTGCTTTTAAAAAATTAATTTAACACAGCTTCCTAATTATGCAAATATGAATAAAAGTAACAAGTTTTAGCATAATTTGAGCTATATTTTATAACAAGTTTCAAGTTTAAAATGGTAAAAAAAAAAGAAAAAAATTAAAATAATCTTTGATAGAAGCTTTTTTGGAACAAAATTAGAATTAATTAAATATGTAAATTAAAATCTTCTTAAGGAACGTTTTTCTTTCCCAAAATTATTTTAAAATTGTCAAATAAAACTTTTTGCATATTTTTAATAATACGAAAGAACAAAAATCTAAGCCAGGGGTTTCCAACTTACATGAGGCCGGGGCCGCACTTTTTTCAAAATTTTATATAGGACTCTTTTATGTTTGAAGGAACATTAAATATTACTGTCAGATACACACATGCTAAATTATATTCACAAAATACAAAAAAAAGGAATAAAAAAGAGCAACATTATCTCTGTATTGGATTAAATATTTTCTTGGATAAAAAACCTGAGAAATAATTATTTTTGCACTGTTGGTATTTTAAATTTCACAGAAACCAAGAAATTAGGGGTTTTTTAACGAAAGAAAAGTATTTTAAACCCATATAGATTTTATACGAAAATTGTCCGCAAAAAAATGACAGCTAATATATTTTAGTTCGAGGGCCGGCAGTTGGTAACCACTGATCTAAACCCAATATCAGGCTTTTATTAAAATTCTGCTATATTCTATTCACTTTAAGTTGATACTTTTAACTACATATAATATTTAACCCTATGATTCCGACAGTATCATAGAATTTGTAGCCTTTTACTATGGAACTTTTCAGAAGGTCGTTTTTAAAGTTTAACTCGCCCATAGTTAATTGATAGAAAGGGGGAGAGTCGTCCCCTTTAACTCTATTCAAAAACATTAGTTTGTGGAGGAGGAACAGGTGTTAACAAATCGCTGATTACCTCAAAATTGCATGTTTCCCAAGAAGGGAAGTTAAGCACTTTTGGCAACTAATAAATGAATTTTACAGTTTGCTATTTTTTTATTTTAATTTTCTCCCTTCTTTTCAATGATATCGCAAAATTAAAAACTCTCGTAAATTATAATATTTTGATTTAGCTTTAACATTAAAAAACATTTATATTGTCCTAGTTTTTAAATGTTGAATTAGTAAATATTTTCTTGACTTACAATTATTATTACTCTTTATTATTTAAATTTTTTGTTCTGCATTACATTCATTTTTTCAATTCGTCATTGATTTATTACTTCTCCTTTAGGGTCGGTGGCTTAACAAGAACTAATGAAAGAATTGGCCGTTTTTGAAATATTATTTTAGATCGAAAATTACAAAATTAAGAGTCAATATTAAAAAAAACAGTGAAAATTTTCAAAGTGAAAATTTACCTTAGTAGCAGATAATAAATTCTAATGGTAAGAAAATGGTTCTTGTGATTGATTGTTAATTTTTTTCTCTATAAGTATTTTTTTCTTTTAATCCTTTATGTTTTCAAAGAAATATTGTGTGATTAAATTTAAACTTAAATATGTTTTACTCTTCACCAAACGAGACACTTGCTGCAGTTTGCTTGTAAATGTCCTTTCGTGATGCACGGATGTAAGGAGTTAACTAATTCTTTGGTAACATTCATCTTGTGCTCTAAACATAATACCATTTTACATAAACTATTACAAATTGTTTATAATCAATGAAGTTTGTCAATGAAAAATTTATCTTGCAAACTGCTCACATTATCACAATTATGACAAACTGATTAAATAAAATATGAGAAATAAGTTTCATCAAATGTTTTGAAACAGCTGCTTTAACAAACAAAAAAGTTTATTCTTACTGCAATGTCATTATAAATTCTTTCCTTTACATTAAAGTTATATACAATTATAAAAAGCTAGAATAAAAAGCATTAAAATGAATTCATATAACGACTGTAAAATTACAACTTTTTGTTAGAACTATATCATATGATAAACTTACTCGGTATCCTAAAAATGACTTACAATTTTAAAAATAAATTAAAGAAAAAGGAAAGAAGATAAAAATATATAGTTTACTAAATTCTCCTAAAAATCTAAAAATTTATTTCAACTTATTTCTTAAGTTAGTTATAAAAATGGTTAACAAATTGCACTGCTAACTGAAAAACCTTTAGAACAATATTTTCAAAATAACTATTATTAGTTACAACCATGAGGTTTATCTAAAGACAAAACTAATATAAGCCCATAAAAATATTTCAGTTGGAATCATCTGATAGGCAGCAGAAAACTTTCCTTTTGAAAACAGCAATACCATCTGTTGACAAGTATTGTCACTAATTTAATAGTATAGTTTTCTAAGCAGAATGCAGCAAGCGATGCAATTCTATCTTTTTCTTTGTTTCTTTAATAGATTTTCAAATTATTAGTTATTTTTGAACACTTTATATTTCCTAAATATAAAAAGTAAGAACAAAAAATTTGAATTCATTCAAAAAATGGTATTAAATGTCGTAGTTTTAATTTGAAATATGACTTTTTTTTATCTATCCTACAAAGTACTCTTTTTGATAATTAAAGAAATTATCAAAAAATACTTCTGATCATAAAAGCAAAAAAACTTGAAACTGCAGCAAGAACAACCTCAGAAGACAGCTTAAAGTAGATAATAGAATTAGGTATTTGTTTGATTCCATCTTCAAATAATTTTAAGAAACTTTCCCAATTACCTAGTTCACTCTAAAAGTTTTCTTGATACAATTTTGATTTGATTTTTTTCTCCATTATACCTAAATACATTATTGTTTTTGCTTTAAAAAAAAAAACTTTTTAAAATTTGTGCATCATACTTCGAAATGAAAATTTGTTAATATTTTTTGATTTTACCTTCTTTTGCTAAAACTAAAAATTCTTCTCTGTACTTAGAAAGACTATTTGGACTGGAAGACAGACTAGGTTCTGGTAGTGAACACAATGTTAATGACACAGAATCGGATAAACTATGTGGACGATTCATATCTTCACTACTTGCTAAGGAAGGATGTGAACAGCTAAGATGAGCCATCTCAGATATAGGCAACCCTGAATCACCAGTCTAAAACAATAATGAGTACCTATTAGTAAATAATATTATGACTGGAATAAAAGAAAGATAAAGGCATTTACATTTTTAAGATACACTTACACCTCTTTCATTATTTGAGTTTTCAGACAGGTCAGGAATATTATCAGTGCTGTTAAAAGAAGCAGATGAGGCATCTTTTGAAACTATTATTGCAACATTTTGTTTGTTAGATTTGCTACTTTTATTACTATTCTGGTTATTGGAACTTGATATCTTTTGATTTTTGCTCTTCTTTTTCAAATGAAAGCGTTTTCTTTCTTTTTTAGTAACAACTGGTTCTTTATCAGAAATCTAAAAGGAATTTATATAATAGTGTAATATATATCTAAATATTTATAATTTGTATTAACAATGAGTGTTTAAATATTAAAATAATATATCTAAGGTAGCTACATTATGCTTCCTTTAAAATAATGAGAAACAATTGTTTTGAATTTTTCACTGACAATTATATTGTTTAATTAGAAAATTAAACAGTACATATTCCAATCTAAAACAGCAAAAAAGATATATTCACGTTTGCAGCATACTTCCAAAGATGTTTTAAAAAATGTTTCTTTTAAATACTTTAAAGATTACAGGAAATTACATTAATAATTTAACATTTGAACAGATACATTCTTTAGCTGCACTTCTAGTTTTCCCACCAGACCAACTGGATATAAGAAAACGGAAAAGTTTAATATTCGGTTCTTTTTTTCTGTTAAGAAATTGGTTTCTTAAATGCTGCAATAAGCAAAATCTGATTCAGAGCTGGTGCTAAATTGATTAAAGTTTCCGAAAAGATCTCTAAAAATTACAAGCTATAAATTTATAAAACAATAAAATAATTTGTAGTAGTTCAGTAGTTTTAGATTAAACAAGTAATTAATGATGAAAGTACAAAATAATAAGGCATCAAAATTATATGAAAAGAACTATTTTAAAAAAGCTTTAAACTATGAAAGAATTGATATTTTGGTACTTATGATTTGAGTTTTCTTTTTATATGACATGCATATATTAATTAAAAAGAACTCTCAAACTAGGAGATGAGAAGATATTGATTCAGCTAGAATCATATGCAGCGTTATTTATGCAGACAATATTAGTGATATTTAACTTTTATGAGCAACAGAACTCAATATTAGTCCTTCATTGTAGACAATCACACATAACAGCAGGTTTTCATGAATACTCAAAAGCAATCATTAAACATGGCTTAAGGGAATTCAAAGTGACAAATTCGCAAACAATTTCAACTCTCCATTTAATGCTCATGACAGATACCTTACCAAATCTTTTTCTCTCTCTTCATAAGCCTGTTAAGGCAGAGGGGTGTGATTGTTCTTGTTTTCCAGTGGCGCCATCTATGGCCAAGAATTCCCTTACCATATTAGCAGCAAGAGTAAATTATTATGAACAATAGGTTCCTTTGCAAAATATGAATTGATAGGGTGAATAAAGCACTGGTATTAAAAGAATAGCAGAGCAAGGAAAGACGAGTTACAAAACTGATCCAAACAAAGATAGTATATGCATCACATAATAATTTCCATAATGTCGATGTCAATAAAAATTCTTAAATATTAAATTGCAAACAATTTGGTAAAACTCATAAGAAATGCAAATCACTAAATATTAGTAAGTCTGACAATGCAGCCTATGACTCTGACATTCATCAACATACCAAACAGTAAACTCAAAAAGTAACTAATGATAATCCTTAATGCTAACAAAGCATAATTTGGCACTAACTATTAATGTCCATTAATATCCTTGCAATAGTGTAATTACACAATGCTTTGACTTAAAGATGGAATAAGTCAAAATTACACACTCACACTAAATTTCACAGAGAATAAACTGCAACAAAATAAAAAGCATTTCATTCTGTTTTAACTTAATACAACAAACTAAATATTTTGAAATATTTACCTCTACTTGTCCATCTATAAGAGTGCTAGTACTTAATTCTAACTGTTGCATAATGGTTTCAAGTTGGTAGAGCTTATCTTGCAAACTTGATAAATCTTCAAAAAAAAAAAATATTATTACATAAGAATTGCCTTAAGAAAAAAGACCTAATAACTGAATATTTACAGTCTACAGTTACAGTAGTACAGTTATTATTATTTCTAAAAACATATGCTCTAGCAAAACACAATGCTGTTTTTTTCACTAATTATAACAGAAATAATTTAATAAAAACAAGTAAGTTTTGAATTTGAGGAGCTGATTTTGCAAAATGATCTTCATAATCCTGCTTATTGTTTTTCACGCAACTAAAATTAAAGTTAAAACTCCGTCATTGTGACCAAATGGCTGATTCAAAAATGATGAATAGGTGAAATGCAAGAATTATATGATTGTAGAGATTAGTGGAAGATCATAATTTAAGTAGCTTAGCTGAAACAATGGAACTATTTTTTTTAACAGAAAACCATATTATATTCTAAAATCTGAAATATTGAATATTTTTAAAATTCATCTTAACATGTTTTTTTGCAAAGCTCGTAAATTTAATTTCTCGTCAAAAACCTTGACTTGGCCATAAATATCAATTCATTTAAAATATCATGCACAGAACATCTACTAATTAAATATTTTTAAGATTATATATATATATATATATAAGGTTTCAGGTTAAGAGACTTAACAAAATTCTGATGCATAAAAATTATGTAATTTATTAAGCTAATTGGGTGGCATCTATGGTACAGTGTAAAGTTCTAAACAATTTTGGAAAATACAAAAAAATTAGAAACCTATTCAATAGAATATTATAAATTTAAAACTTATAAAATAGAAGGATTAAAAAACTCAAGACTTTAAACTTTTTGCTCTTTTTTTCAAAATGAAATGAAAAATTTAACAATTCAGTTTTACTCCTGTTATGGAAATTTTACTCAAAAAATGGTTTCCTTTTTCTCTCTGCTTTTACATTCATATTATATTTTCTCCAGATTAAATATGAGCATCCGGATTATCAAATCCATCATAGTCCTGAATATTTCTTACAGTAGACTAGGAAACATAGTTGCCTTTTTTTTTTGTCTTTTTGTTTGTCGTCATTCAACACGAAAGAGATCTTAAGAGTTTACTTGTATTTTTATTTTATGATAAAGAGCTAAATAAAACTAATCAAATTTATCTCTGATTTTATAATGTATGAATAAATTACCAGAAAATTATTTGTTAAACTTTACTTGATTGCAATCATATTTTTACACATTGCTTGATAATTCTTAAACTGTAAAAATTCTCTCATATACAAGTCATTAACTGCTATTATTAGCAGTGACAATTTCGGCGGAGAACCAATAAATATGAAGTAACATCAATTAAAAAAACACTCTGTATACAAAGACAAAATGCCAACTATTGAAAAATAAGCTTACCTTTATTGCCTTGATCAATTGCCGATGAATCTAAAATCCATGCTGCTACTCGACTCTGTTGAGAAATTGGACTTCGAATTAAACTATGTCTACTACTCTGCCAAGCAGACCCATCCTGAATGCTACTGACAGGTGGAGTATATGAGACAGGGAAAGGTACTGGTAAAAAGTAATAATATAATTATGATCACATTACATTAATGGTCAAAAGAAGAAAATGCAATTTTAAGCTTTCATTGTAATATTAAAAGCATCTAACATAACTTTTATGTTTAAGCTACGAAATATCCATTTTGTAGCTTCATTTCATACTACTTGCAATATAAACTACTAAACATTAATGGAAATGTGTATCTTTATTTGGATACTTGGATTTTAATGATTTATTTTCATTAATACCAAAAACTAGAAATAGTAGCAGACATATCTCAGAAAGTTGTAAATATATATCTGGGTCTAAAATAAATTCAAAATTTGATCTTTTAGTAGCAGAGAGGGAGTGTGGTTAGAATGCATTGGTATAGTGATGACCTTATTAATGTATATGTAATATGTTAGATTGTGTTCTGTCTGTGGAAAATTTAAAAATTACTGAATTGTTATCATTTAGCTTAGCTACAAAAATGTGCAATAAATATTTAAAAAAGTCAAAGCCTAGATCAATACCACACATGATTACACTTTTACATAAATTATACTTTTGTAGTCACTCATACCTTAAAATAAAATAATATGGAAATTGAGATATTAACCTTTAAAGTTTCGTTTTTAAGAATTAAGAACAAAACTTTTTCTTTTTATCTTTTGCGTCATTGCAATGGCGCAAAATTTTTTTTACAGTACCGTAATTTATGGAAGAAACGCCGCGGCGCTTACGAGTTTAAAAGTTTTAAAATTTTAATTGCGGCGTTTACGATATTTTAAAAATAAATTTTACATTTTTCAAAGAAAAATTTTTTTTAATCAAAATAGTTGCAAATTATGGCCAACGATGGCGCCACTATTGATAACTCACCACCCCTTAAAGAAAGTGGGTTGATCTTGATCTAGCTCCCGCCAAACCGCGTGGTTGATAGATCTTTCACATTTTTTCTCACTTTGTTACAATGTGCTTTGTGGAGAAATTTAATTGCGGAAAGTTTTCTTTTTAGTATTTGCTAATATTTACACATCGTTGTTATGGAAGCGACATATAAACTGATATCTTCTTAGCTAAATAAAAGAGGTATATTTCCAAAAAATAAATAAATTAAATTAAAAAAAATATTTATAAAATGTAAATATGTAGTACAGTATGGAACCCGAAATTCAGCACTTAATCCGACCAATTTTTTTTTTTTTTTTTTTTTTTAAAAAAAGAAATTTTTTTTGATAAGAGAAAAAAAAAGTCCTATTTTCTTTTCATTTGGAGTTTTTTTCTCTTGAAGTAAATAACTATATTTTATCTTTTAAAAATAAAAATATGAAGAGAAAAAATAATAAATCTGTGTCAAACAAAACATCTGTTCCTTAAGCAGTTTAAAATAAAGTGAAATTGAAAAGTAAAAACATCTGCATTTCCAATGAACAAAATAAATCAATGCAAGTTGAGAGAAACTGATGAATCAATCTTGACAGCTGTGCAAGTGCTTTACTGGTTTGCCCCCCCCCCACACTTCCCTCTTCTGTTTGACCATAAATTAGCCACACCCTTTTCACATTGAAACTTCTTTCTCACTTGGTGTACAAAATGAATTCTATCCCTCTTGCTGCTTTTTTTTTTAAATTCTCGATTTATTTATCTTTTTATTGCTTATTAACTGTTACTTTTTTTGTTGTTAACTTGTTTTTTTTAATCGTTATTTGTTGTTTGCTTCCTTTTTGCAGTTATTCATTGTTAGTTTCTTGCCATTAATTGTTACTTTTTTTGTAGTTCCTTGTTAGCTTTTTTTCCCCGAGGTGAGCCTCTTTTTTTAAAACAAAATGTTACGTAAAAGAAAAAACGAGAACAATGATCTCGCTCTGAAGAAGAAATGATTATTTCTTTTTCAGATTATTTCATCTTGAATTATTTATCCTTCGGATTACTTCTTCTTGATTATATCTTATAGATTATTATTTTAATTAATGAAATTTCTAAAGATGGGACAGTTTTAAATTCACCCCATCAAAATCTACAATTGAAACTTAGCTAAATGTATTGGTTTTTCTGAAATTAACAGCGTAATTGAATTATCGTAATATACGGGCGCCATATTGGAATTTCCGGAAGAGATCGGAAATTCTGTAAATTCCGAAATACGGAATTTCGTCGGTCCCGTGAGTGCCGAATTTTGGGTCCTATACTGTAATGTAAAAAAATCATTTATACTAAAGTAATATAAATATTGTTATTTAAATTTTTTACCTAACGATGGCACCAACAGCTGATTGTAACATGTTGTTCTGAGCAGTTTGTCCAAAATATACAATCGCAGATTACATTCTTGATTTTATTATAATTATACATTTATAAATTTTAATTTATATTTTAATTTAAAACATTAGTAGTATTTATAAGGAATTAATGTTATATATTCACTTTTTCCGCTAAATCGTTATTATGGGTGCGGCGTTTACCATGATTTTTTTCTTTTAAGTCTCATTATCACAAGTGCGACGTTTACGATAGGTGCGGCGTTTCTTCCATAAATTACAGTAAATGCATAATATGAAGCACCAAGAATTGAAATAATAAAAAGCTAACATATTTAAGCATTTTTTAATGTTCTTAACTCTTATTTTTTCACTTATTAATTTCAGTTTTTTTTATTTATTTATCTTTGATAGTTTTTTAGGACAAAAATTAGTTTTTGCTCCAATTACCATTTTCTCTCTTATTAGAGTCAATTGCAATAACTTTTTGTTTTTATAAAGGCTTGAAATTTTTTGGGGGGAGAAAATAAGGAAATATTAAAAATTTAAGAGTTCTGAAGCTCGAGTCTTGAGAATTTTCACACGTCTATAAGTTGCCGATTCCCGAGTATTCCAGAAAGTTGAGCTTTTACTGTATTTTAAGAATAAAATTTCTCATCTCATGTGTGGGTCCCTCATGTTTTTTTTTCTTCGACAGAACTGACTACTTCTATTTCTCCACCATCCTACTCCCAGTCTTCTCTCATTGATTGATTACTTATGAGGCACTAGTTGGAGAGCTGGGGGTAGTGAGTCCTGGTGGCTGACAAAACCAGAGTGTATATGCAGCAAGGTACACACTAAATTTGTTGTAGCTGAAAGTCTTTTCATTGGTTGTAGTGTGTGAATTTGAAGAGAGTGACCGGCTCAGGGATTATCTACATCATCTGACCAGGGTCGAAATTACATGGCATTCCTACCGTGGCCATTAAGGGTGATGATCGCTTATGGTGTCAGGCATTAAAAGAAAACACCATAAAATCAGGTAGATAGGTTGATACACAGCTGTATCTAACTAATGGTAAAGAGAGGCTCACTAAACATTAACACAAAAACAAACTAAAAGTAATTAAATTTAAATATAGCAGTGCAGTTACGGAAAAGGACCAAAATATAGAAAAAATAAACCAATTGCATAGCAAAGTTTGTTGCAACAATACAACAATTGTACTATGTTATTAATTATTAATTTTCATTTTCTAAATATTTACTATTTTCCAAAGAATGAAATTAACTATTTTTCAAAGTATAAAGCATAAAAATCTGAAAATATTTAAAAGCACAGTGAACCTATAAAAAAAGCTAGGTTTAACACAAAACTAGCTTAATGACTTATTTCATAAATAAATTTGCATTAAAAAAAAGTTTCATTAAAAAATATACCTTTTGTTTTCAAAAAACTCTAAAATTTTAATCTCAAAAACTTATTTACCATTAAGGCGTTATGTTAATTGCATCTGATCAAATAGTACCTTTCTTGAAAATTGAAAAAATAAAAGCTTGATTCAAAAATATGAAATCATCCAGTATTTTAATCTTTTCTTATATAGTATAAAAACATCATATATTTTGTAAAATGCTTAACAGCTTTCTTTAACCCTTTCGAGCCGACTGTCACATATATGTGCCAGCAAGAAACGCGCTCACTTTCCGACCGACACACCCGCGTGTCAGAGAGTTTTCTCGCTCACCCCCGACCATCACTTATTTGTGCCAGCGTTTCAGAACGTTTTAAAAAATGAAATTTCTTCCAAAAGATGGCATTGTATGTCCATATGGTTTCAGATACATGTAGATTTGACCTTCTACTCAAGATGAAAGTACAGTCACGTGGTTTTTAGAGGAAGGAGTGGAGGGGGGGGGAATGTTTTATTAGGGCTCTTTAAATTAGCACGTGATATTTATTTACAGTAAGTAAGGGAGTTTTTTTTATCTCTCGCTACTTTCGATTTTCGGATTAGTTTTTAGTGGATAATTAGATCTTGTAGGCTTGAATTTTTTTTCTTTTTACCGTTAGAATGTCGAAGCGTCGAAAAATTTTGACTGAGCTGGAAATAGAGGAAATTATGCAAAATATTTCAGATATTGATTCTGAAACAGATTCGGATAGTAGTGATAGTGACACTATAATGAAAATAAATTGTGTAAAATATACATTTAAACAAGAAATAACTTAAGTAAATCAAGTATCCATAGACACTTAAATACTCTACAGAACAATATTAAACAAAGCGCTGATATTTCGGTAATTTCTCTGAATTAGGCTTAACATCGAAAAACCCTCCGGCCCTGGGGAGACACACGCTAGAGAGACTGCCGGCCTCAGCGGTAAGCGCGCTTTCGCGCTTTGCGTCGCGAAAGGGCTAAGAACAGATTAAAATTAAAGCATACTTTCAAAACAAAATAAAATGGTAAAATATCTATATCCCAAAGTCTTTTTTGAGTCAAATTGAGTCAACTCTTACATGTAGAGTTTAAACATTTTAATAGAATTTGATATTTGTAAATAACCTTTTATAGAATAATTTGGTATCATCTACTTTAAAAATTCATAGCATTATCATAAAATCCTGCGTATTTGAAAACCTATTCATGAAAAAAAAAAGAATCATGGCTATTACATAATTCTAGTATAATTTGAAATTTTCTGAATTAATCATTTAAAAAAATTTTATTTCCTTACAAATGTAGTGAAATAAAACATAATGTATGTCATATGTTCTCTTTAATGGAAATATAAAATGGAATGCATTATAAAAATATAGATAAATAGACTATTCTTAAACACCTAGAAAATGATTTTTTAAGTTTTGGAATACCATAAAAGAAAAACTAAGTATCTTATTCCCAGATAGTGGAGATGTATACATGAGTATAATAGAAAAGAATAAATGTAAGTAACTTGTCTCACCTCCACCAGGCATTTCATCAACAGGAGTAGTAATCTTAGGAGCTTCTCGTGTTCCAAATGATATTTCATGCTGACGGTAAAGTCTGTGATGGCGTAGTTGATTAACCCACTCTTGGAATTGAGTCTGATTTTTAACCTGCAATTAAAAGCAAGGTGATATAAATAAATTAGCAGCAATTGAAATTATTCAAAAAACAAGTTATAATACTTATTAGTTAAAATGTTTACTTATCAGTAAATATATTTTTTCCAATTCTTTTTAATTATACAGTGATCTGTTATGAGAAATTATTTAATCTTCATTCTAAACTGATAGTCGAATTAACTTTTAATGGAACAATATATAAACAAATTTTCAAGAGGTATTCCTAATATTGATATACTAAATAAGAAAATTGCTTTGTAATAAATTTGCACCATATTTAACAATTATTTGATCAATAAGGATTACTGCAAAATGAAATAATACATACATTTTCAAATTTAAAGCATATTTATAAGGAAAAGTTTTTGATTGAGTCAATTTAGAATACAAAACACATACTTTTAAGTGATAAATATGTTCTTCAGCATCTATATCAATACGCCGTCTTTGACTTTTAGTTGAAATTACAGACAAGCCAACATCAACAGAGCCAAGTATCTTGCCTCGCGTCATCTAGAAAGTAAAAAAAAGATTTATAGAAAATTTTAACTCAAACATATGGTTATTAAAAAATGAATAAAATGAATTTAATACTCACTTCATTCGATGTTTTTGTATAAGTTAAAATTCCTTTATCCAACAGAAAATAGCGCTACAAATTAAATATAAAAATTAAGTTAACAAAAGAAATAAGTAGCTTTTATACTTCAAACAATAAAAATGAATATTATTATATTTATAAACAATGAGTAAAAAAACAAAAAGTTACATACAACCGTAATTTGCACTAGAAACTATTAATTGCAAATCTGTATTAACCATTACCTTAAAAATTAAAAATATCTTTCATTTTCATCATCATCATGATCTTAGTCTACATGTGTCTCTAAAGGAATGAATGCTTCTGTTAAGAAATAGTAATTTTACATAAAAATTTAAGGATAGTTTTAGAATAACATTTTCAATTAATGTTGCCAAACAATAAACAATGCACTTTAAACTTCTTAAGATTGGTTTGAATTAAGTTTGAGAATTATTTATCAATGATCAAATAATGTTAATAATAATATTGAACAAAAGATAATGTATCTTCTATTATTAAAGTCTGCACTATATGCATTCATCAATTTTAGACAATGACAGGCTTTTATCTTTTTAAAATTCTTTTAAACGAAACCATAAGACAATTTTACTTTTTTTTTATTTAAAGTTGAGCTAGAAATGAAATTTGCAATACATTTAAAAAGAAAACTTTATTTAGAATTTTTGAAATGCAAAATAAAACTAACTCCAATATTTAATTTTATTGATTTCCAATATTATTTTTACATTAATTTATTTTATTTTATATATTATTTTGTAGGATATAACAATTAACTTAAGTGCTACCTGGAAGAATTTGTACGAAAAATTTCATGCAGTACAGTATTTTGCATTCAAATAACATGTGCAGAAAAGAAGCTAAATTCTACCCAGAACAAAAATTAATGCTGACAGTTACATATATATACATTAAAAAATATATAAAAACTTTTACCTACATAATAATAATAGTAAATATCAAACTTATTTTAATGTACAGCTAGGATTGCTTTTGTTTTTTCATGTTTTTAATATTTTGTCTACAACTTACAATACTGTACAATCTACTAATTTAACAGAATTTGAAAAACAAAATGGTTGTTTTCTCCTTGGAGCATAACTATAAGGCACTAGAAAATTTATGAACCCACAAGCCATAACTGATCCCGCGAAACTAGTGCTGGACAAGTTGTTTAAAATATCTGGGCTATAAGAGTAGCATAATAAAGGAAAAGAAAGAGGAAGTCAGACTGTGATCTACCATATTTCAGAGAAACTTTTGGTTCTAAAAACCGTTACTGATACTTAGTAAAAAAAGTTATTTCAAAAGTAAATCAAGAAAGCATTCTAAAGCAAATTATTTTAGAAAATTATACAAAATTTTTCTTTGTCTAATTTTAGATCTCATACAAGGTTAAGTAAAATCCATTACCAATAAAACTAGTTAAGAATACATTGAAAACTTTTATTTCCAATTATGAAATATTACTGCATCTGGTAAATAATGCCTTAAAATCCTAATTTAGAGCTTCTCATGAAATGCAAGGAAGTTCTGTAAACAATTTTGGAAAATGTATAAAATTTCAACATACTTTGTGCCAACCTTTGAGTGGCCATTTTCTCCTTTTCATTAAGTATCCTTCAAATTTGCCAGGCTTTGTTTCACATATTTTACCATCTTTTAGACCTTCTAAAATTTCCCACTCACTTCCTCTGTGAGATTTTTGCATTTGCATAGCTGAAGATATCTTCTCTTCTCCATTTGTGACAATGGGAGCTGAATTTGGAGCTTCTGATGAGGAATTTAAAGGTAATTTTAAAGCTGGTTTACTATGTGATGTAGATTCAGAATGATGAGAACTATGGGAAAGGCTGTTTGTACCAACGCTCAATTCCTAAAAACAGTTTTAAAAAAAAATTTTTTTTTTCATTAAACTCACTGTATAAAGAAAACATTATACTTCATAACTTTTAAGTAATAAATATAACTGACAAATACCAAATTCATTTGTTAGCAAAAGTAATATTTCCATTGTACTATTAATAATTTTACACTGCTTTTAATAAATAAAAATAAAAAAGCAAATGGGAAAAAAACACGGAATAAATTTAAAATTTTAGTACAATAATTGTATCCAATCAAGGTAATAATTTTGAAATTAGGATATCTTAAATTACTGTCTAAGTTCTTTTATCTCATTAACCCTTATTAAAGATGAGAACAAAATTTAATAATATTACATTAGCATAGAACATTATGAAAGAATTTTTTTAATAATTTAAATAAAATTAAAAATTTAAAATTCCTGCTATGTTTCCAAGTGTAACTTTTCAAACATAAATTCATAACATTCAATGAAAAATGTTACAACACACTTAGAATGAAGGAATTTCGAACAGATAAGCTATGATTTTTGCTATATTTCTTTTCTTTTTAAATCAAAATTTGATATAAGTAAACCCTTACAATAATTTAAAAGCCTCTTACTTTAAAACTGCTCTAAAATTAAAATTTTGATAACAAAAAAATTGTTTAAAGTTTGTGCATAAACCTTTCTTTGTATTTCTATATAAACCTTTCCATGTATAAAACTTTTTAAAAATTATGTTTAGGAAAATCAATAGATTTAAGTTGTGATCATGCATAGTAGATACAATAATGCAACAACACATTAAATGATAAAATACAACAAATCATTCAAAATAAAAAATTATTGAGTCATCCTCAGTATGACGGCACAGTAAATACCAGAGCAGTCCCGATAAATCCTCTCCAGTTGGTTCCATCAGGCGCTAGGTTTTCCATCAATAGCAAAAAATACATATGTTTTCATATTTTAAGACCTTTTTGTTTAGAGTAAATTTTTCTTGTGTCAGATTTTTTCCCACTTACAAGTAAATTTATCAAAGATCAGTTCATTATCTGAGCTAACAACATATTTTCTTTAAATTATATCCAACCATATTATTATACTGTGAAATTTCATAACTGCAATTATGTTTGGTTATTTAAAATTTCTGAAAGGTTATATGTGATTGTGTGTAATTTGCCAAATAACAGTTAATTTTGCAGCTCAGGATATGGCTCAAAGTAATTTTCTTTTAAAACTCAATAATTTGTCAGATTTCTTCAAACATCCACAGCCATTAAGTAAAACATGTTTTATTTATTAAATAAAAATCATAACAATGTAAAATGTCAACAAAAAATTTAAATATAAAATTTTTATAAAAAATGTGTAATTACAAATTTATGAATTGCTAACTACAAAAATATAATCAAGTCATTAAAAATTAATAAAAAAAAACATTTTTTTAACATATTTCAAAAACTAATAGGGGATCAAAATGGCATCCGAAAATAACTGTTGGAATTTATTTTTTCTTAAATTTTTTCTAATTTGAGATCAGCAAAATTAGAAATCACTAATTCAATGAGAAACTGGAAGATAATTTTGTTTTTAATTATAAGGTTTGGTTTAACTGTTAATTTAACACTAAAGCTAGACAACTAATAGGCTGGTCAAAGCATCACCTCAATTTTTATTCTGTAAAAAGGAAAATTTTCTTTTTTGTGGGAAAATGACCGAGGTAGGACATTTGGTTTGCTTGCTCAATATTTCATTTCATGTAAGCAAATTAGGATAATGAAACCATTAAATATGTTGTTTACTCTTTAATTCAGATATTTCAAGTTTTATGCAAATATATTGCTCATTAAAAAAAAAAAACTCACCACTGTTCCCCCTCCTGACATTTGATCACGAAAAAAAAAATATATCAGATTTAAAAGAAGTCTAATTCCGAAATTAAAAAGATGTTAGATAAAAATGTAAAAAAGATTTTCCAATAAAAAAATCATCAGTTCACTAAAAACTTATAAAAAACTATCGATACACGACAGTTAAAAGAATTTTTTTAAGTAGAAAAAAAAACACTTATGCATTTTTTTTTCAAAATAAATGCTTAATTTTTATTCCCAGTCTTTTTTTTTTTTTTTAAATAGACTATTTCAAAAAAGCATCAATCTATGATCTTTGGACACGTTGATTTTTAAGCATTCCATAAATAATTAGCGCTCATGTGAATTTTCCTAACATAATATAAGCTCAACTTACGGAATCAGAAGTTCGACTAGGACTTTTTCTTCTGTCGCGAATTTGTAACTCATTTAAACCTTTCTCTGAAGCTGAAGTGCTCATCTTGTGGTTGAGATTCCCAGGTTCTGTGGCAATGTGGCGAAGAGATGATGCCATGATGCCAGGAAAAGGAGAATCACTATTTTTCAGTTGGATTATGGAAATATGGTCATGGTCACCTAATTGTCTCCATAACTAAGTGCTGCATTCTAATGAGGAGAGAAAAATTATATTCAATATAAATTTATTTCAAAATAAAAGCAATTTTTTTGTTATAAATCATTTAAGTAAATCTAAAATTAAACAAAAAATTGTACACAAATTTTTCAAAAAATAAAAGAATAAAAACACTATTTATACATTTGATTCCAAAATAAAGTTATGGTTTGCAGAGTTGAGCAAAACTATGATATTCAAATAAATGATAGATAAATGTATAGCATATACATGTGCACTTGGAATGAATGCCAAAAACTGAAATTCTTTCTTTAGCACAAAGAGTGAAGAGTGATTTATCACATAAGATTTTTATTTTAGTTGTAGCTAACGATGAGAAATGGATTGAGAGCTATGTAAAGACTATGTTTTTTATTTTTAAAAAAAAAAATTTCAAGAAGTTTTGGGGGTCAAAACAGAAGATTCTTTGGAATTTTGAGAAAAACGCATCTAATTTGTTGTAATATTTTTTGTGAAATGACTGAACCGTGACGCAAGCCACTATTTGTATATTACATTATACTACTTCCACACTAACTATTAAGACATACAGTGGACCCTTGCCTTGGAAGCTAAAGGTCATAACAAAATCTTCAAAGTAAGGATATTTTCTTAGACTTCTGTCAAAATCTACTTTTGCCAACAGCAAACCACAAAGGTACATATTTCAATAAATACATACTAATGAGCAGTACCTAAAAAAATAAAGATATGTGTGGTAAAATTTGGCATGACCTAAAAATTTAGCTTTAAAGCAGCAAGAAACTGACATTTTGTACAGTTTTCAAGTTCATAACTAACTTTGCCAAAACTGAACAAGTATGAAATTTGCTGGAAAAGAAGCTTCAAGTGTAACAGAAACACAATAAACTCACAGATCAATTGGTTACTCATTCAACTTTTATATAATAAGTCTTTAAACTTTAAGGTCTGTACCTGAGTAGTTAAATACAGAAATAATTATTAAAAAGCTGTAAATTGTTTATGATTGAAGCCCAATATGAATGTTTGAAGTTAACATACTCAACTAAAATGAGCTTTAGTCTATATGTTAAACTTACTGTGAAGTGGGGCAAAAGGGCAACAGTTTGAAGGTTGAGAAGTATTCAAGTCTTAATAGTTTGTGTGGAAGTAGAACCCAAAATAACAGTCAATAATGTGGTTCACTCATTTCATGGAAAGAATTGTTAGATGTAAATAGATGTGTTTTCACAAAATTTCAGTGGTACTTCAGTTTTGACCCCAAAACTTTTAGAATCTTTTTTTAAATAAAAAATAAAAACATATGTCTCATAAATTTAAATAAACATTTCCTGCAAAATTTCAACAAAATCAAAAATATCAAGTATACAACCCTGTCTGACTCTTAAAAAGAACTGGCCAATGAAATAGAAACCTTAGATTGATATAAATATTTTGGATATCCTTTTGCACAGATAACAGTCCCTATTCCTGAGAGCAGTGACTCTACAAGTTTCTGGAGTGCATTTATGTCTAGAGAATACCATGCATTGGTTACGTTGGCTACATAAATTGTAAGATTCTGTAAATTAGATGGAAGAGGAGATCACTGTCAGATGTGCCTTTTCAATATGTCCCCAAAATTTTTTATTAGGGTGAGATCCAGAATGTGCAGTGGCCAAAAAAGGTGTTGGAAATCAAATTGATGTGCATTGAACCAATTTTGTATGCCTCTGGCATCATGTATATTAGCGTCCAAGAAATATCTGTTGCCTTCAGAGTAAAAAATGTAACATTACAGGAGTAACTTGATTTGTCAATCTTTCCAGGTGTTGCATGACTTTTTGTTTACCCTCAAGGAACACCAAAGCACCACTTAAATACCAGCAAAATGATGTTTCGCATCATGATGCTCCCACAAGACCATGTACAAGGGCAACAAAGCAAAAAAATAGCCCTAGTTTCTATTTCATTGGCCATTGTGTGTAGTTTATATTGCAAGCAGTATTGTTTCTGATATATAACAAAAAAATAATATAATTATTTTCGTTTATTTGGTTATTTAATTTTTTTTTTTGTTAACTTTACTTTATGAATTCCTTCAGCATATTCTGGATAACACATTGTGGGTATATGGATACTATGCCACACCATAAACAAATAAAAACTTATTTCTGAAAGTAACATCTAATAACATTAAAGAATATTTAATAAGATAAAATTACACCACAATAATTTCTGTTTATAACATCTGTATATATATATATATATATGGGTCATTCTCACGAAAACTGTCATTTTTCAGTTCATAAAATCCCAAAAAAGTAAAGNTGATTTTTCCTTAATTTATGATAACCAGTGTATATATATATATATATATATATGTGTGTGTGTGTGTGTGTGTGTTAAAGAATAATGTTGAATTGCGTGAATAGGAATAGCGATGTACGATATTTAATTCGCGAAAATACAAATCGCGACAACTGATTTTACAAATCGGGATATTGGATTTTTAAATTGCGTACATAGGAATCGCGGTGTACGATATTTAAATTACGTGAATGAGAATCGCAACTTTTAAATCAGGTAAATACGAAAATCGATTAATGATATTAAAATCCCAAAATTAGCAAATTGAAGCGCACTTTCACATATTCAAAATGGCGAAAATCTGCCAAACCAAAAGAATCAAATTGGCGAAAAAACATGCATGTAAACGCCTTGTTAACTGGATTCGGCCAAAGTTCCAAAATTTCGTCGGATTATGTTTTTGATTCGCGGAAGTCCGAGAATCAATGGTCTTGAGATACGCGGAATACTGCGATATTCGCGGAGAAATCACCCGCCCTGTGTTAAAAGAAAATCAGTATAAGGAGTGAAAAAGCGTTTGAATACCGAAAAATCAGAACATTTTGACCTAAAATCGTATTTTCGGAAAAAGGCTAAAAAATCGGGACAGTTGGCAGCAAAGCTATTCTCTTTTCCATCCTTTTAATTTTTTTTTTTTATGTTTATATTTTTAATAAAAATGTATACGAAAAGAGACGAATTTTAAAAAATACCAATATTTATGGTCAGTTGTTGTTTCAGTTGGAATTTTATTAAGGATTCAGAATACAGTTTTCACACATTTTTAATAAATATCATATTCGGAAAAGGCGAAAGAAAGAAAAAAAAAATTTCAAAAAATTTTCATATAATCTTTTTTAAAAAATATGTGTTAACTTTGATTGTAAATAGGTTTGTCGTGAGGTGAAGAAACCTGAATTATTAAAAATATTTTTTTCTTCTTAACTTCTTTTCTAAAATAATATAATAAAAATGGTTTTCCTAAACTAAGAATTTCGAAGGAATTACAGCGACCACAAAGTTGAGTAACATGCAACGTGCACTACACACAAAACGTTATTTTCAATTGAAGATCATGGGGGAAGAACGGTTTATGACCATGTTTTCAAAAATGCAATTGGATCACTACCTTATGCAGTATGAGGATTACAAAGTTTTGACAGATCAATAACGTGGAGTATCTTTTCTCCCCGACAGTTAATATACAGTGGAGATAGGTCAGCCTGGGGAAAAATGGTTCCTGTCCAAACATAAACAAGAAGAACAAAGAAAAGTATAATTAAGAAGAATATTAGTGAAGAAATTTTGATTGAGGAGGAATTTTAAGGGAAAAACAGTTCTTGTACACCCAGATTTTCTTCTCTTTTTTTTTTCTTTTTTTTTAACATCAAAAAATTGTAAATTTTGTTTTGAAATTTATTGGGAAAGTAAATAAATGCTTGAGACTTTCATATTATATTTTTATTCATGCAATTTCAATCGAATGCTTGCTTTTGAAAATTTTCAAAATTTGAAATTCGTTTTTCTCAGAATCAGTTTTCATACACATAAACCGTTTTCCCCCTGATCTTCATTTGTGTTTCCCAGAAAAACGCATTTCCTGATATCTTAAAAATTATTCATCATAATTCCATCTTGTGTTTATGAGATTAATAATTCAAATTATTGCGTAAAAGTTTTTCAAAGTTTTTTTTTTCCTTCAATTTTTATTAGCTTTAAAAATTAAAAGCTTCTTTTGAGTAAAATGCAGACTTTTCAAACCGTACATAGTTATTTAAGTGAACAAAATTGTTATTAAATTCGTTGCAATACAAAATACAAAGCAAGAGAGAAAAAAAAAACTATATTGTAGAGAATTTGATAAAATGACGTAATCTCATAAAAATGGTGATTGGATGAACAGCTTCTGAGACATCGATAAGATGAAGTTAAAAAATATTCTTTCAGATATCATTATTATTCTTATTTTAGAATTTTTTTTTCCAGGAATGCCAACTGCTTCGCTTCAAGCAAAAGTTTAAATAATATATTGAATTAAATAGTAAAACTTGCAAAATAAGGATAATTACGCCCACTCTTCAAAAAAGTAACCATGAGATTAATGACATAAAGTTGCGTTTCATATAATACTTCGAATATTGGATATGTAGTGGTGAAAAAATTGCTTAAAAGGAAAAATACTGAACTAAAAACAACTTAAATCTAGCTAAGCAAGTTGGCATCTCTGAAGTTTTCTTAGCGTAAAACATTTTTTTTCTTTTTTAAATTTGAGAATTGTTCACAATTATATATTTCATACATATTTATATATTTTTTTAAATCTGAAAGAACCTTATTTAAATCCCATTTGTTTTAAGAATAAAAAAGTTTTTTATTTAGACAAACCTTTGAAAATTGTTAAAAGTTTTGCAACCTTAGCAACACTCAAACGATTCCTTATTTTACTAAGTACAAAATAAAATACTGAGAACATTATTCATTCTAATCCTACAACTGAACGCACAGCTGTATTCAACTGTTTAATAATAACAAGAACATTTTCATTAATACCTTTTTATAGGCATAACCACCAACATAATGGTTAAATGCCGATATACTTGAGTTACTTAAGTTTAACTTTGCAGTTTCAGCTGTGGATATTGCTTTCACCTTTTTTTCTCTTCTGTCCAGCTTATTATTATTGTACAAAAAAAATACAAAAAAATATAGTTTTTCTGACCTAATCATTTTTTCATTAATTTTTGAAATGTGAAAGACATAAGTAATATTCTTTAAAGAAATAAAAAACATGTTTAAAGCAGATTTTTTTTTTTATTTAATGTTCTAAACATAACTTAAAACAAGTGTTTAAAACAAAGTGTTTTTTTTTAACATTATAACCCAGATCAAAACGACATTAAAACCTAAACAAGTTTCAAGTGTGTTACGCCATTCTGAGGCAGTTTATCATTAGAACTTTTTACCCTATCACCGGGTCACATAAATTATTAGCAAGTTGCAAAAATCTTTGATTTTTCAGACCAAAACTAGATGAATGAAAAATATCGCGTGAATCGTGACTGAAATAAAACTAAAATTTAAACTTTCAAAGTTTGTTAAATCTAAGCCAGAATAGAAAATATCAAAAATAGTTATTTCATTTTATACTGAATAATGACAACAAAAAAATCGAATGTCCTTCTATTAGCTTCAATTGTATGGATTAATGTGAGACACCACTGTCTAAGTGGTTTCTTATTATTAAAAAAATACAAGAGTAATTATTTAACAGTAACATTATTTTATTTCTTTTAAATATAAGTAACCTCCAAAACTAAAACTTCCCCCTTTTTTAGATACACGAACTTTGCCCCCCCCCTCCCTGTTTTTTATTTCTATGGTTTTTATGGTTCTTTTTTTTTTNTTTTTTTTTTTTTTTTTTTTTTTTTTTTTTTTTTTTTTTTTTTTTTTTTTTTTTTGCTGTGAATCTGTTTTTATAGTTGAATATTTTTTTAGCTACTTATTTAACAAAAAATGTTAATAAAAATTATCTCAATTTTTTTCTTTTTTGCCGCGTTAAGTATCCTAATTTTTCCTTTTTAAACTCAATACTAGTTTTTTTAAAAACATTCTCCGTTTACCAGGGCGTCCAGGGGTCTCTAAAAACTATTATAGTGGTACATAAGGGGTTGGACAAAATAATGAAAGCACTTTACACTAACACATTTTTTTATGTTTCCCAAAAAAATATTTAGAGCATTATTTTATAAATTTAGAAGTGATAAGGTTATGCGAATTTTCATACTTATCAATGAAATTTAAAGCTTTCAGAGGTTTGAAAGAACGGCGATAAATTAAAAACAGAAAACAGTGCTTTTGAACACCCTAAGCCAAAAAAAGTAGGAATGAATTTGTAACTTGCAACAATTATTTTGGTTATTATATGCGAGAATGGCACGGGATTTCGTAAACCTAGCTTTAATATTTATGGAATTAGGGACATTTTTATAAATAAATAAAATAAAAAAATCGTTTTTGCTATATTTTTAAAAATATTCAATGGTGTGAAACAATATTTTTGGAGCAATTTAAAATAAATTACAAAATTATTACTTTAAGATTTGAGAAAAATTTGCAAAAAACTGCGCAAAATATGAATAATTAAAATATTTATTTCATAATGCGCATGCGAGGGAAAAATTTACATTTTTTCTTAGTTTAGTAGTGAATTGTACTAGGCAACTGATAAAAAAAGTCCGATTGAAATATCTTATTTTAAAAATTTTAAAAGTTTCACAAATTTTCTAAAATAGTTTTTGTTCTTTTTAAAATAAAACTTAAGGGGTTTTTCACAAATTTCATTTTGTATTATTAAACAAGATTTATTAAAAATGATAAATAAAAATTTATTAAAATTCAAGTATTTCTTGAGAAATATGAAAACGTCTTAGTGTAGAAGTGTTTCCATTATTTTGTCCACGCATCCCTTGTAAATTTTGGTTATAATGTGTATTTAATGTTTTTAAAAAGTTAAAATGAAACATTCCTGATCTCTACATTAATTCGATAACTCAAACACGTATAAAGAGCTAGGTTATGAATGGATGAAAATTTATAGCATTTAGGGGTTGCTAAGCAAGGTGAATTTCCACTCCTTTAAAGATAAGTTAGCTATCACTATAAAAATTTTGAGGGATCAGTAGACGCCCTGGTTTACACATATTTAAAAGTGGCTACTAAAAGTGCAAAAGTAGTTACCTTTTTTTCATGTACATATAATACTGGAAAGCCAGTGGCTACTATTCATAACTGCTAGTCTAAAGCTTGACAGTTAAAGCTTTAAATAATATTTTTTTTAAAAAAGAGAAGGAAAAAAAGTATACATTAAAATAAAAATCACGTATGACGAAAACTATATAAGTAATATGCATACTATTAAATTCTGAGTTAAATCGGCAGGAAAGAATAATCGGAAGGTAGGAAGAAGTTATAGTATTAGCGACAATATAACATATTATTCTAAGAAAACGCCGTTTCAAATTTACTTAAGAATTACGAAATTAAGTTAGTAAAGTTTACTATGCTCGTTACTGTAAAAAGAGGCCTATATTTCTCATTCATATTAGTTTCAACTTATACTTTTAAAAGACGATGCCGATACTTTCAAATACGTAGACCAACAAATTAAGCAAAAAATAAATAAATAAATAATATGAAAACACGTTTTGAAAATTTCCTATAGTATTTCCTTTCCTAATTTTAGTCAACTTATTTATTTTTAAAATATTTTCAAAAAATTTAAAATTTGAAATTTTTAAAAAATTAGTATTTTTTAGAAACACTTGTTTATTTTTCAAACTAATATTAGAAATATTATTTTGAGCATTTAGAGTGATTTTTGAAAAACGATATTTGCCCAAAAATATGAGTTTACATTTTTGGGGAAATTTCAGCTACTTGCACTAAAAAAAGTTTAAAATACGAACTTAAAATTTATTAAGCATTTATGACAATATAGAAAATAATTTAAATAATTTGAATAAAATGCGCAATAAAATGCGAAAATGCTACAAACTAATGGAAAAATACTACAAACGGCATTTTAACGGCTCAATAAAAGTGACTTCGTTTCTTTTTAGATATTTATATAATATCTTTAAAAATTCAAAGAATTAAGTCTAACTTATTTCGGAACTAAAATTTTTTAAAAATTCAAATTTCAAAATATCATGGGGTTCTGAGTTTTGTTAAAAATCGATAATGTCACTATGAGAAAATGAAACAAAAATAAATTAAAACAATTAATTATGTAATGTAAGATTGTAAGATGTTGTGAAAGATGTAATTATCTTTGACAAAAGGATATTAAGCACCGTCACGATCTTGGAACTAAACGTCATGATTTTTATTTTAAAAACATTAAAATTATTTTATTAACAGAGAAAAAAATGAAAAGTGGAGAAAAAAATATACTCACCTTACGATAATACATCATTTTAGAGCGAATTACAGCTCTTCTAAAAAAATTAAGATAGATAATGCGGATTGTTTATCGATGAAGTATCTTCTTCAAAAATAATTTGAAGTTATGATTAAAAAGAGAAACGAAAGTAATGATATTGAGTGAAAGAATCAGGAAAATGTTAACACCCGACCTTCAAGACAATGAATAAAAATGATTAATTTGATTAAAGAAAAACGGAAAAAAGTTTTCACCGGCTACAAGGAAATATTTATAGTATAAAATGTTTTCCTTATAGCCGATTAATATTACAATAGAAAATCTACTGATACTTATATATTTGATGATTTTATTTTTTTCAATGTGAAAATTCATTTCCATTTAGTTGTAAAAAGTTTTTGAACACCGAAGATTTGAGAAAATCAACTATTTAACTGTGAGGTAATTTGATCATAAAACTAGCATATTTTGACTGTGTTACATAGAAGCTAGACAAAATTATTAAAAATAGACTAAGCATCATTTAATAACATTTTCTTTTTTCTATGTTTCTAAAAAAAATTTAGCATTAAGGTGGGCAAAGTACAGCGGAATAGTCGAACTGAAAAGAAAAAAAACTAAAATTGCAGTTATTTACATATAAATGTTTTCATTGTTAGGAATAATCAGCACAGCTTTGTTTATAAGAGATTAATTAGCAAATTTATCAAGTTAAAAAAAGTTTAATTATAATTGAACAATCTGTTTCTTAAATTATTTAACAGGTATTTCTAATTTAACAAGTAAAAAATTAAATAAACTTTTTTTTTTAGCTTATAAATAATACTTATAATGAGAACAATATGGTCTTTAAGTTTAACAATAATTTAATACAAGACGAATAAAACAAAATTTAAAAAAACTTAATCGCACATAAAAAAACTTGTAGTTTCAGTGTTAATTATGCAACAGAGTATGTCTTATTAAAATAATTTGGATAAGAAAAATTACCATCTTAATCGTTGCTTAAAACAAGTAACTCTGTTATTTAGAAGAGTTAATAACTGTTGAATAAAATAAGCATATTTCGTAAGAAAGTTAATAAAAAGATGCCAACTTATTGTACCAGCTGTAAGCAAATATTTAAAGAAAAGTTATCGCGGTTAAAGATACAATACAAAGTTTGCTTTGTACTTAATGCATTGATGGGGTTCGCATTTTTTTTACATAGAAAATACTATTTTTAATAAAATAATTATTATTGAATCATACATTTTCAGTCTTTCACAATTCTTTATAATATTTTTAGCATTTTAATGTACAGGAAATTTTTATATCAGTTTTTAGATATAACTCATTCCCTGCTGACATTGCGTTTTTGCTACACTTAATGTAAAAATCGTATCTCTTTTAGTGATCTACTTTTTACACTACTTTTTGTAGTGATATTAAAAATACATTTGTATTGATGTAAAAAAATATGTATCAAAATGTATATTTTTGAAAAAAATTATAGTTTTGAAAAAAGTGGTATAGAATTAGCACTTAAACTAATAAGATGAAAATTATTAACGTAACTGCAACAAAAATTTAAAAAATATTGCAAATGCATAGTATCAGATCAAAATATAAATACTTATATTGTTAATATATTTTGTTGGTGAAAACAAATGATTTTGTTTCACCGAAGTAAATGATAAAAATAAAATAGTTGAGTTACTAATTTTTATCTGTTTGAAAAAGTTCTAGAAATTATACGAGAGTTTGGGCAATATTTGACCGATAAAAGCAGTTATACGGCACAATATCCCTAAATACTATGATGAATCACAAAAAATATCTAATAAAAATAATTCTTATGTCTGAACTGGATTCGGAAAGAAATTTCGCTTTTCATATGAAAAGGAAATTTCTTATAGAGAAAAAATATTTTATTGAATTACATATTGCCGATTCTGGTCTAATACTATTTGTCAATTTTCTGGATGTACTATGATTCAACGATGAGAAAATTATTGCTCTTCGCTGGCAAAAAACTGATTCAAATGATTTTTGACTTCCTCATTTGAAGTAAAGATTTTGTCGTTTAAAAAATTGACCTAGTGATCAATTTTTTAGTGAACAATGATCTAGTTCAGCCTCTTTCCTGGACATCTCTATACACAACAGATTATTTTTTTTCTTGCTTGAACAGCATTTTTACCTTTGCGACTGTAAAAAATTAAAACATGCAAAAAATGCTGCTTTTAACTTTCCATATTTGAAAGGGCACCAACCAAAAACAAGTGCGCAGAATCAATAAAACTTTTTCACAAGAAAACTTACTATATCCGTTGCCAAAATATATAATTATAATGCGGCTTAATTGTGAAGATATTTGAGAAAAAGTATAATTAAATCCTGTGTTAAGACTATGAACAACCCATAATTTAAAGGCATACACTCGTTCCCATTTATCTTTTTTTTTTTAAAAAAAAAAAAACCTTTCTGCTATTTAGAACACTAATAAAAATAATTTTTTTTTACTAAAATTTTGGAAAATGAGTAGATATAGTCATTTTATATTAGAAATGTCGGGAAAAAAGCGAGGTTAGACGATGGCATAAGCCGCTGCACAAACAAAAAATAAAATTTTAATTCTTGGCAAATATTTAAAACAAATGAATAGAACAGTTCCAAATTTTGAACCCATTTTACTGCCCACCCTACTGCCCATCAACGTATTAAAAACTGTAGTGGAAAAGCAAAATCAATTACAAACAGTATCGTTACAAACATTAAAAAATAATTAATTACATTTTAAGTCTTAATTATTTTAAGTTCTAAAAACAGTAAACTATTGTATTGTTACTATACTGATAAATGCACAACTATGCAAAACTTCCGAACTCTAGCACATAAGAAATTGGTAAAAAATTCATTACAAAATATTATCCTCCATTCGTAAAAGCATGAACTTTTTTATCCCTTCCCCCTTACAAATATGAAAGAAATAAAGTAAAGCTCTAAAAAAACGTGGTAAAAAAAAGCGATTTCAACATTATTGATATCTCGTATTAGTTTAACAACGAAACGATTACGTCATGAAGACAATGACGATAGTGGCCGGGACTATTTTCGTCAATTGTAAGATATTTATGACACAGACGGGAACCAGTTGCCAATATTAAATCAAAGAAAGCAAGTCATTCCATCTTATTACAGGAATAGACTGAGAGGTTTCAAATTATGCTACAACTCTCACTTTAAATGGTCGTAGAGGTGTTTAAGCATAATAGAAATTTTCAAAAAACAAAGCAAAAAAAAAAAAAAAAAGATTTGAAACAATATAAGGGTTATACTCCCCCACCCGCCCCCCAAAAAAATTACCAATTTTTTAACGGAGTAATTTACGACAAAGCTAATAATCTTATTTATTTATTTATGATCCGTAGATAACTAAGCATTTGTCTAATATATAAACAGTTTTTGCCAGTTTTGGGAATTTGAGATTGCGCCGTAGTCCTTCCTTTAATCTTCAGATTTCAAATGTTAAACTTTATTACTTATTTATAATTAAATAAAATTAATAAAATCTTCCTTTTAAGCAACGTTACTTTACTTGACATAAATGAAGGAAAGATAAAAATAAGCAAGTGAATATAAAAAATAAAATAAGTAAGCAAAGGAAAATGAAATAAGCAAGGAAATATAAAAATAAGCAAATTCACAGTCTACGTATGGAATGATAAGTCACTGAAAATGATTTATATTTAAGAATATTCCCCTTAAGCCACGCTACCTAACTTGACCAAAATGAGGAAAATATTAAAATAAGCGTGTGTTTAATTCGTTGTCTAAGTCTAATGATAAGTTACAGAGTACCTTAAACTACGTCACTTAGCTTGACACAAATGAAGGAAATGTAAATATTAGTATGTGTTTAATTCGCTGTCTATGAGTCAAATGATAGGTTACAGAATAACAGTGACTGCAATTTAAGATTTCCCTTAAACCACGCTACTTAGCTTGACACAAATGAAGGAAATATAAAAATATGCATATGTTTAATTCGCTGCCTATGAGTCGAATGATAAGTTAGAGCAAAAATTATTAAAATTTATGAATATTTCCCTTGAGCTACTTTTACTTAGCTTGCCACATATGAAGGAGATATAAAAATAAGCATGAGTTTAATTCGATGTTAGAGAGTAGAATGAAGTTAGAGTAACATTGATTTAAATTTAGCTTCTAAGAGTAAATATAGAATTTTTATTTTTTTATGAACCCCGATCTTGTTCAGAACACTTACTTCACGGAGAAAGACTTTAATCACAGATCTTGTTCAATTAAAGAGATATGATAAACTTCAAAAATTTGAAAAATCCTCATGACTTAGATATACATTAAATTTTTGTGATTTTTCAAAAAACAAACTTTGAAGGAGTAAAATTCATAGCTACCAACATGGATTAGAAAAAAATCCAGTAGATTTTACGAAATAATATTAACTTCCTGATAACTGTTACATTAAGTCCTGAATATTTTACACATAGGGAATTTTAGGGATTTTTATAGTGATCAAAATAGAAAAACTGCAATATTTTCCAGTTATGATTGACATTAAACATCCTTGAACTGTTACTAATATAAATAGGTATTTAATTCCTCAAAGATATAAACTGACCAGTGAAGAATTAAGAACAAAAAAAAGTTTTAAGATAATTTCTATAAATGAGGTTCGCTTCATTATGAATTTGTAACACTTATTTAAATATTCAAGCAATAATCTGTACAAAAATTCTATTTCAATAGGGATTTTTTTAGGAAACTTACTCAATTTTAGAGAATTTTCTAAAATGTACAAAAACCAGGAGAATTTTAATTAAACCAGTAGACCAGGAGGAACTGGCAAAATTCAGTAGTCTACTGGAAAATCCAGCATGGTTGGCAGCTATGAAAACTGATAATAAAATATAAACAATACAATACTTTTATTAAGTGGATTTACTAAATATATAAAATATATTTGGAAATAGCTTTTTTGGATTTTATCAAAGAATTCACATTAAATATTCAGATCATTTACAATGTAATTATTTAGGTAAATAGCAGTAATAAAAGAATCTCGTCAATTTAAATACTTTATATGCATTTTCTAAAAATTCAAACAGGAATAAAGTAATAGAAAATTTATAAAAAATAAAAAATGTGATAATATTTTAAGTTACAATTGCTGCAGATTTTCTATTTTTTTTTCTTTTCAATGAACAATATTTTTTTAGCAGTAATTTAAACACCTTGGAGAAAAAATTTATTTTATACACTCTTCATTAAAATAAGAAAACACAACTGAACAACGAAAAAAAAATGAAAAGAGAAAGAAAACTAGAATTTTTCAATAGTATGCTCACCAAGGAACACGCTAAGGATTAAAATGCACAAAATTTAATCAAGATTTTGTAATATGGGTATCACTTCAAAAAATTGAAATTAT